CTCACTTGACCTGGGGAACTTGTTATAAGCTTTGCAGAGGGAGGCCAGCTCTCCTACGTAACTTTGCTGACGACTCCGAAGTTTACGTCCCCCTCGTTTCCTTGTAAACCGAGGACCTGGTGGTCCGGTCTGGATATTGGCGCATTAAAAATAGATACTGACGAACATTGAGAGGACCTGGAATTTGACCAGGGCCCAGGGCTGTCCACCTGGTCTTCTGCTATTTAGAGAAGAAGCTTCGGTGAAACGAGCGAGAGCAACTGGGTTGATGCGGCCTTTGCACCAGATAGTTCATGCGTGTCATGTGGTTTTTTTCGGGGGTCACATGCTGCAGCTTCTTTTGCAATTAGGGCAAATTGCTTGCAGGCCACTGATTGAGACGTCTAATCGCTAGTTCAGGGACGTTGCTCAGTTTTGACAGACAGCAGAGCTTGGGGATGGAACAGCCCTGTGGATTTACTGGGATCTGTTATGCGGTGAGGACCATAGCTGTCAACTTACAGATTTGAAAATAAGGGGCCAGCAGCCTCGAAAATAAGGGATAAGCAGCCAAAATAAGGGATCAACAATTACTTTGATAAAATACATATTTTGTTGCGTGCAAATGGCTTTAGATACCTATTAGGTCCTATAAATTACCATATAGCATATATTCAACACAAAAAACAGCAACAATTTGTTGTTGACAAAGCACAGCTGGACACAGAAAGGGCCCCATTACCTTCAGTAGCTTATTTAAGGGACATCATCAATAAGGGAGAGCAGCGGGACATGGCGCTGGGACAAGGGACTGTCCCACCAAATAAGGGACGCTTGACAGCTATGGCGAGGACCCCTTGCGTTGCCTCTTGGTTCCAACTTCATGGGAATCAATCTGCTGCAATTTTGGGTAACTAACACCAACCCAACTTGCTAAAATGTACAGGACAAGAACTAAAGTGTATTGGAAATGTAAAGGAAAGGAAGGAAGTTTCGATCACATGAGGCGGAACTGTAAAAAGGTAAAAGCTTACTGGGAAATGATATATAATGAGTTAAAGAAAATGTTTTTGCTATGTTAACGGAGAAATCTGAGGGCTCCCTTGGACAAAAAACAAGGACACCAGCCAGGAATACCAGAGCAAAACAGCAGCCAGTAGGCTTAGTCTTTATTGAAGACTGTCGCGACAGGACTCCCACCTGCCACAAGGTGGAACAAGATGGACGCCGCGAAGAAAAGAGCCCCCAAACTTTTATTAGCTGCTAATCCCCATGTTACACCCCCCAACTACATCACTAATACATCATGGTTACATCATGAAAAGGGAGGTCTGATGATAGTAATCTGAGCATCCTGGACCCTGCCCCATGGTTCTCCTTGCCCTCCACCAAACACCCACAAGTGTAACAGAAGAGATCTTTACATTTCCCTGTTTCCCAGCCAAGTTAATCACACCCTTTTGTCTTCGTCTGGGTTTGTTATTTCTGGAATGGCTACCTGTCTGGCACTCAGGTATCAGGATGCCAGGGATTATCCCTCAGGCAGAGGGGCTGCTGAGTAGCTGAGCTCACATGTCTATATGAATTTCTGAAGTTTCCCCAGTGAGCCAGTACATAGGTACATTTATCAGTGAATTCTTAATTTTGGTATCGTGCAGCAAAGGCGCTTTGAATAGATAGGAAGAAACTGTGATGAAGTGTTTTGTGGGGACAAATCACAAAAGTCACAAAAGTGATTGTGCTGATTTTGGTAGTGGGCTCCATGTGCATGATATCTGCTGGAGGGGCAAAACACCCCCCCAAAACCTATACATAAATTCCTGCAACAGCTAAAACACCAGAAGCTTTCTTACTGGGTATGGTGGGGGATGAGATACCAAAGGGAGATTAAAAGAAACTGTTTATGTATGCAACAACTGCAGCAAGAATTCTTTAACCCCAAAATGGAAGCAACAGGAAGTACCAACGAAAGAAGAGCGGCAGATGAAGATGATGGACTTTGCAGAACTGGCGAAGCTGACAGACAAAATCCGAAACCAGCAAGGTCAAGCATTCCAAAGAGACTGGAGTAAATATATACAATATTTGAAAGACCACTGCAAGCAATTAACACTAGCAGGGTTGTAACAGGACTTGTAATGATAACCGTATTGACCCTTTTATATTCATTTAAAAATTGTGAACTCTTAAAGGAGTGAAATGTAAATTGGAAAATACATAAAATAAATGTATAAAAGCTCAACATAAAAAAAACTAAGATCATGGTCACTGGTCCCATCACCTCCTGGCAAACAGAAGGGGAAGAAATGGAGGCAGTGAGAGATTTTACTTTCTTGGGCTCCATGATCACTGCAGATGGTGGCAGCAGTCATGAAATTAAAAGATGCCTGCTTATTGGGAGAAAAGCGATGACAAACCTAGACAACATCTTAAAAAGCAGAGACATCACCTTGCCAACAAAGGTCCGTATAGTTGAAGCTAAGGTTTTCCCAGTAGTGATGTATGGAAGTGAGAGCTGGACCATAAAGAAGGCTGATCGCCGAAGAATTGATGCTTTTGAATTATGGTGCTGGAGGAGCCTCTTGAGAGTCCCATGGACTGCAAGAAGATCAAACCTCTCCATTCTGAAGGAAATCAGCCCTGAGTGCTCACTGGAAGGACAGATCCTGAAGCTGAGGCTCCAGTACTTTGGCCACCTCATGAGAAGAGAAGACTCCCTGGAAAAGACCCTGATGTTGGGAAAGATGGAGGGTACAAGGAGAAGGGGACGACAGAGGACGAGATGGTGGGACAGTGTTCTTGAAGCTACCAGCATGAGTTTGACCAAACTGCGGGAGGCAGTGGAAGACAGGAGTGCCTGGCGTGCTCTGGTCCAGGGGTCATGAAGAGATGGACACGACTAAACAAAAACAAATGCTATGATACAAAGTTTCGTTTTGAAAACCAGGAGGCAGGGGAGTCGACAAGCTCGTATGAGCAAAGGAAGGAAAGTAGATAATGAAGATGTGTCTAAATATGTTAAAATGGAAACTTAATAAAATGGAAACATTATTCAAAACACAAAAACAAAACTGCTGCAATTTTAGATGTTGTATATGGCCTTGCAGGTGGTTTTTTTTTTTACCGAAATGTGAGATGTGGGACAATGCATAGGTGCTTTGTTGTTGTTGTTTAGTCGTTTAGTTGTGTCTGACTCTTCGTGACCCCATGGACCAGAGCACGCCAGGCACTCCTGTCTTCGCATAGGTGCTAGTCCTCACCATTAAAGGTTTCCACCTCTCTGCCCTGGAATGGATCTCCTCCCATTTTCTCCCTTCCTCTCTCCCATCTCTGTGTGGCCCTGACTTTTGGCTTTTTCTCACCATTCAAGTGTCTGGTCCTTACTCTTAATCTGCAGCGACATCATTGCAGCTTATCTGTGCCTTTTCTCGGGAACAGTGTTGCAAGCGTGTTCCCTTGGATCATGGCCCTTGCCGTCAAAAGGCAGGAAGGGGCTGATATGAGGCTCGGCTTGCCAGCCAGCCAGCCAACCAACCCCTTACTGGATTTCTGGGACATCCAGTCCAGGATGAAGGCGTCATCACTTGTTTATAGAACTCCGTGATATTTGATAGCTTCACAGCAATCCAGCCTTGTATCTGATGAGGCAGCAAATTCAAATTGCTCCATTGTTTGAGCTCCAAGAGGAGGGGAGGGGAGTGAGAATTCAGGCACTTAATGTGATGTTGGATGGATGGAAGAGGTGGTCCAAGGATGGGCAAAGGGGCATAGCAAAAGTGCCAAATGTTACAGCTGCAGTTTTGAAGGGCTGGGAGTTTGCAGAAGGCAGAGAGGAAAGGATCCATCAGTATCTCTGACAGTGGCACATTCGCACAAAATATAGAAGAATATTCGCACCGGGGGTGTTGGGTGTGTGTCCAGCAGTGTGGAAAATTAAAACTTGTTGGAGGAGTGTAAGGATCATAACGGAGCTATCTATCTTTTCGGTCCGGCAAGGTCAAAATGTTTAACAAAGGGATTAGCTTGCTAGAGATCAGGCCAGAGTCCATATACCACTTGCTGCAAATACCACAGCAGGGGAATAGGTGTTCTTGAGCTCAGATTCTGCTCGCAGTTTCCTACAGGAACCTGACTGGCCACTCTGAGAAGAGGATGCTGGACTGGACAGAACCACTGGCCTGATCCAGCAAAGGCTGTTCTTAAGTAGTCCATCTAGGGTAACTTCAGCACAGCAGATGAAAAGCCCTGATGGGACAAACAGAATGTTGAACCCAGGGATATGTTCTCAGCACCTCAATGGAACTGAGCCGACGGCCCCTTGCCCTGCTTATTTCGTTTATGCATTATATTTGGAAGAAGGGAAGGGGAAAAATAATCTTTCTGCTTCTCAGTCGGCGGAGCACGAGACTCTTAATTCTAGAGTCATGGGTTCGAGCTGCATGCTGGGCAAAATATTCCTGCGTCGCAGGGTTGGACTAGATGACCCCCGTGGTCCCTTCCAACTCTAAGATTCTATGAATTGGGAGTCGGAAATATTTGATGACCGGCTGAAAAATCACCTAGAATGGGAGGAGGGGAAAAGAGAGCTTTTGAGCCTGAGGGCTGCATTCTCTTTTGGACCACCTTCCGGCTGGACCAGAGGCAAAAGTGGGTAATGATTCTAAATTTTAGCATTATACGCCAGGCTATTTTCTACACCCCTCTCTGTCCCCCATTCAGGCAAGTCAGAGGCATTATCAGAGTTCAAGGGTACATTTCCAGCGAGGCAAAAACACCTGGGTTGTGAAGTATGACCAGTGAGAGGTGTGTGGCCTGGAAAGAGTTTCAAAGGCCAAGTGCAGAGATCTGGAGGACTGGATTCGGCCCCCAGGCCTGAGGTTTCCCACTCCTGGCTGCATTATCTACTAAGCAGATAATGATCTACCTTCCACTCCGACATCTGCAGTGCTTCCTAGGAGCTTCCAGCATTATATGAACAACTATTGCACAAAACATCACTTACTGAATAAACACGCTCAAGGTCACAAAAATATAAATGCCGTTTTATTGTAAAAAAAGACAGAGAGACTTGCAAGTCTTTAAAAAACTCTTTACAAATAAATTAGCATGATTTCCCTTTAGGGCGGATACTTTTCAAGGCCCGGTGTGCTTTTTAAAAAACTGACTTAAAAATATATATATGTAAATACGTGAAGATATTTATATCCACAATATTGCCTGTATTTTAACAAAAAAGTGCAACAATTTTATTTGCATATAAACAGTTCTGATCCTGGTGGACAACGTGCACAACCTACTTTGTGTGCATTTAGCTTTTGCAAATGGAGGGACTATGCTGGGCAAGTCTCCCACGTTCACAGGCAGTTCACGAAACTCAGCAAGAAAGAGCAGCTACAGCAAGGTTTTCGTCTGAGCCCAGGGTCCTTTGCATTCCCCTTTTGCACGTTGTCAAGTGTACCCAGATATACATGAGACCCGTAACCCTGGGCTGCGTTCTAAAGGACTGCGAGGATAAGAAATGCACCGCGGCAACTTTCATCGCTCATGCTAGACTCTCAGGCACTGTCTGCTTCTGCTTGGAAAGGCGTTTCTGTCCTGTTTGAAAAACAATGAAGCAAACTTCATGGCCTCCAAGCGGGTGAGATGTCACACGAATCCCAGGCCTACAAGGGTGGAACAGTTGCTGCTACCTCTTGGGCGGCCAGGGTGGAAGTCTGACCAGCCCCAGACTTTACTGTAGCTCCTTCCCCACACCAGCACTGCCCTCTGGGAAACTGGGAACCCGGCGCAATGATAGGAAGGACACCCAGGGCAAATCTCCAGAATGGTGTAAGGCCTCTCACGTTACTTGGTATAGGGAGGGAAGGAGCAGCACTGCCGCAACAGCTCCTGGGGTAAGAACACAGGCTAGGAGATGGAGCTGAACGCAGGACGGAGTGAGAATGGAACTGTAGCTCCTGGCAGAGCTCGGATCCGGAGGGTAGGCAGGGATCTGCCGTTGACGTTACCTGTCACCTAATTCCTTGGCTTATTTGACTAATGCCACGCGTCCTTCTAGGAGGAATGGACAGACCTCGTATGAGGCTCAGGAAGAGGGCAGGCTGAATCTCTGGCATATAGCAACAGATGTGTCTCCCGCTTTCACACCGGGCTCAGAACTCCCATACAAATTCAGAAGGGGCATGTGCTTCAAGAATAATTTTTCTCCTTAGGACGCGTGCTTGCTACGGCCCAAATGAGCCATCACTGACGGGCCTCCCTGCCCCCCTCGTTCCGCTACTGCTTTTTGGAGAACTGGGCTGAAAATATCCGAGCGATCCTTCTCATTTCCTTTTCAGGGAGCTCGTCTGGCGTCAGGCTCGGGTTGTGACGGGCCGGCCTTGGTTAGGGATTCTCCCGGCAGCAGCAGCAACGGCGGCGCCACTTCCAGCCTGAAACAGAAAGCGACATTGCACCAACTTCCTCTGAAGACACAGAAACTGCAGATCTTTGCTAATCGTAAGAACGTGGGAAGCTGCCTTAAAGGGAGTCAGGCTGCAGCAGTGGGTGGCAGGGGGGCCTTTCTCGGTAGGTTTTCTACGTCAGGGACCGATTCCAAAGGCTGCTGGTCTGGCAGCTCCTTCTTCCCCCTCTACCCTCCCACCTGCCTGGTGGGATTCCAGTTGTGACCCCCCCCCAGTTTCAGTGGCCCCCAGTCTTTAGCTCCTAAGAGCAGAATAAAACGAAATCTTACGGCTCTTTCTTTTTATTCAAGCCTTCAGGGAAACCTAGGTGTCAAGAGTCCTGTCTGAGCACCTATGGGTGTATATTTTTTATTTATTTTCAAGAATAATAATAATATCTAGTTGCAGAAGAATAAGGGGTTTTTCATTCTTCAGTCAGTAAAGGTGACTGCAAAGGTTGATGAATGCCATATTTTATACATACGAACAAATAACTACATTGAGGTCCAGCTCCGAGGGCCTTCTGGCGTTTCCCTCACTGCGAGAAGTAGCAAGGTTAAAAAAAAGTTAAGGAATCCCGGACGGTTAAGTCCAGTCAAAGGCAACTCTGGAGTGCGGCTCTCGTCTCGCTTTAGGCCAAGGGAGCTGGCGTGAAGTAAAGTTACAGGGAACCAGGCAGAGGGCCTGCCCTGTGGAACGCCCTCCCACCAGATGCCAAACAGGTAAACAACTATATGACTTTTAGAAGACATCTGAAGGCAGCCCTGTACAGGGTTGTTGATGTTTTATTGGTTTTTAAAATATTTTGTTGGGAGCTGCTGAGAGACCCAGTCAGATGAGCAGCTTATAAATAATAAAATTTATTACATTATTATTATTATTATTAACACACACACACACACACACACACACACACACACACACCCTGCTGCCACAAGACCCCTCCTGCCCTTAAGCACCCATGTTTGGTGATCTTAGCCACCGATTCTGAACACTGCAACCTGTCCTGAGCTGTTGCTAAAAGGACGAGTTCAAAATCCAAAACAGATGACACTTGCGTCATTTTTAAACGCCTGTTACATATCGATATCTATCTGTATGCTAAAGTTTGAGTCACATAAACGTGAATGCTGCTGCTGAAACACTTGAGAACGCTGAAGTTGCAGAACTTGCAGCTAGCTGCAGCCGGCCTGGAGCTCGTGTTTTTGACCTCTGTACAGCTTTAGCTAGCAAGCAATGCAGGATACAGAAAACGAGAAATGTGAACTTGGGCGTCTCCTAAAGCCTCCTTTGCCACAGGGTCTGCCCCCCTTTCCAACTTGACATGCCTGAGAGCGGCTTAGCATGTTTCCTGTTTCAACACCAGGCCTGTGAATTCAGGTTGATTGGAGCTGACGGGATCGGGCTTGGTATTCAAGAAAACTCGCCTCCTCTTTCTGGGTCACTTAAAGATAAGTAGGCTGGCAGCTGTCCAGCCCAGGCAGCTGCCTAATGCTGTAAGGAAGCAATTCACAACAGCCCCACGGGCTTTATAATAGGGCGACTCACAGAATGCTAGCGTTGGAAGGGATCCAAAGGGTCATCTAGTCTAACGCCGTGCAATGCAATTGCAGTCAAGGAATCTCTCGAGTAAGCTTTGCAATGCAAGTGTCTCGGCTGTGGGAAAGGCCAAAATTGAAGCCCCTCGCAGCAGAAACCATCTTAAACTTGCAACATTTAGGGCAGGGGTAGCCAAACTAAGGCCCGGGGGCCGGATGCGGCCCATTCACCTTCTCAATCCGGCCCGCGGACAGTCTGTGAATCAGTGTGTTTTTTACATGAGTAGAATGTGTCCTTTTGTTTAAAATACATCTCTGGGTTATTTGTGGGGCATAGGAATTCATTCACCCCCCACAAAATTATAGTCTGGCCCACCACGTGGTCTGAGGGACGGTGGACCGGCCCACAGCTGAAAAAGGTTGCTGACCCCTGATTTAGGGGGTCTATAAAGCCACGGATGCCTCCAGGCAAACCCAACTTTACAAGCCAGAACTGAAGAGTTGTATGATTCCGTCTGTGCGATAATTTTCATTTGGAGTGACAGAGCATGAACTAGGAGCTTTACCCCAAAGGGAAAGAAGTTGAATCGGATCAACTGAAGGGTTCAAGAATGAAGGCTCTATGGCAGCCTCTGCAACCTGGTGCCCTCCAGATGTGTTGGACTACAACTCCCATCCGCCCCAGTCGGCTTGAGGTTGATATGAGTTGTAGTCCCGAACATGCGGAGGGCACTAGGTGGACAGAGGAGGCTCTTTGGCAGGGTTTCCCAAATTTGGGTCTCCATTTTTTTGGGGGGGACTACAATTCCCATCATCCCTAGCTGGCAGGGCCAGCGGTCAGTGACGATGGGAATTGTAGTCCAAAAACAGCCGGATGCCTGAGTTTGGGGAATCCTGCTCTATAGTAACAAAGCAACAGGAAGCAAGATCTATACAGGGCCAAATCTTATTCGCAGGACAAGGAAGACGCAACACAGCTGCCTTGCTCTGGAGCTCACCTCACCCCACAGTGCAGACGCTGCACAACCTCTGCACTCATTTCATCAGCGAATGAACATCAACCAAAATTCGCCATGGCACCAGATGGTTGCTTTTCCCAGCAGCTTCAGTTTACACCCACTCCACCCTTTTTGGGGAAGAACGTCTTCACTCTGCATAGTTTTCAGGGCAGCTTTTGCACTCACATTGTGTTTACGCCGTCCCTTGCCAGGGAAAAGTGCTTGGGCAGGTTCAGCTCCGGGCATGTGTGCAAACACCAGTTATCACCTCCCACGCCTGGCTCATCCTTTTTTCTACAGGGCTTGCTGCCAAATGCAGTCATACAGTGGTACCTTGGGTTAAGTACTTAATTCGTTCCGGAGGTCCGTTCTTAACCTGAAACTGTTCTTAACCTGAGGTACCACTTTAGCTAACGGGGCCTCCCGCTGCTGCCGCTGCACGATTTCCATTCTCATCCTGAAGCAAAGTTCTTAACCCGAGGTACTATTTCTGGGTTAGCAGAGTCTGTAACCTGAAGCGCCTGTAACCTGAAGTGTCTGTAACCCGAGGTACCACTGTACAGGGACTCTACGGCCTCATTGCGAGAAGTGAGGTTACAGGGAACCAGGCAGAGGGCCTTCTTGGTAGTGGCGCCTGCCCTGTGGAATGCCCTCCCTTCAGATGTGAAGGAAATAAGCAGCTATCTTATCTGGTTTATCTTATATGGTTTTGGAACGCTTCTGGAACGGACTAAGTTTGAGAACCAAGGTACCACTGTAGAAGCTGCCAGCATGCGACAGCAGCCACATCCTGGGAACAGCTTCAAGTGGCTGGCTAAACCAGGTGGTGTGATTGGAACTTGAGTATATATATCCTTTTGAGGATAATTCCGTGGCTGCCCCATTTAATATCAGATCCTGCTCATTTTATCAGGCTCACAAGCGTCTGCCTCCAGTTTTATCCAAGCAAGATGTTCTTTATAGAGTTCCCCCGCCACTCACCTCCATAGGCCATAGGGCAGGGGGGAACGAACCCATTAAACTTGCTTTGACGACCAGCAGCTGATAAGTCTGGCTACCATAACAACAAGAACTTGCCTGGTGAAACTTACACCAGCTCCCTGGATTTATGGGGACGGTGTAAACAACATTTAGAGACCAGGCTATAAAAAACCCAAACACCTGATGCTTTAAGGAAACTTCTTCCAAAGAAGCCAGCATTCCCTTTCAAAGCAACAAGTTTGCAAGAAGTACATTTGTGCACTTATAAATTAGCAACCAAATGTATTTTGATGTATTATTAATGCACACCGATCCCTTCCTAAGATTTTTAGTGCTCTCTCAGCTTTAACAGCCCGTCTGGCCTTCTTGCTCAGCAGCTTTTAGCCATAAGCTCATTTGTTAAGCCAGCGTCTCCTGCCAATTCCTGAAAATTCAACAGCGGCTTCTGCAAGTCCCTGCCCTCATTTCGTTCACTGATCTCTGAACCACAGACCTCTCGGCTCTAGATTCAACCCCCAGTGTCGTTTGTGCCAGGGTGAATACACCAGAAACCCGCCCCACTGCAGTGATGACAGCTGCCTGCGGTTGTGCGAAGGAGCGAGTTGTGTGGAATTCATTCAGATCGACTTTTCAGGGCCATCACAACTCAGCAGGCTGATTTAGGGCACAACCCAAATCGCTGGCCAATGGCTGGGCTTGATGGAGTGGATTAGCCGCCGTTGTATCGACTGCGCTGCAGTTTGCAGTGGCTAGAGCTGAAAGGGGGGTGGGGGGAGAGGAGGGAAGGAAGCACCTCTTTGCTGTGTCAGCATCCATTCTAGCAAAGAAGCCTGGATTAGGTCCATTACCATCATCTGACGGCAGCAAAGCTGTCTTAGGATCGTCCGGATCCAGTGCTGACCTAGTCCCATCCCCTTAACACTCCAGGGCTATCCTGCTGGCCGCCATTTGGGCATTCACTGGTAAGGCTCCCCTGCTGGCAGGGCGCGTCTGTCCCATCCAAATTCCTTCCAACATGGTGGTGCACTTGCGGTCTGAACTGCTCTGTTAGTGTGATGGCCTGGGACTCAGAACTGGAAGAGTCTCGGTCCGCACTGATGCCTCAGGAGGCATCTGAACAGAGTCTGGGGCCTGATTCTGAAGAGCCCCAGTCTGCACAGGTTCCCCTGCAACAAGCACCAGCTGGGCCGAGTCAAGGGGCCTAAGCCTGCCCTGGCTCCAGATGCGGGGATGACCTCGTTGCCTTCAGCTGGGCCATCACTTACAGCTGCTCCACTACCGGTTGGGTCAGGGGAGGCTGAGGCGGCCCCTGGGTCTAGTAACCCACCGACGTCTCCCAAGCTGCAGAGACTAAGGTCTGAGAGAAGGAGAGACCTGAGTACTTGCAGGAGGAGTGCTCGCCTCCGGGCAAAACAGGGAGGTGAGTCGCTGGGGGATCAGGACCGGCTGTTACCCTGTCAGAGATAAAAGGCTGCCGGACCCCGTCCCAGGTTGCGGGAGCAACATTGCTGCTTGCTTGAACCTGCCTGTTACCCTGTGCCTGACCTAGCCCGGTTTCCTGCCTTGGCCCTGTTGGACTGACTCCTCGCGGAATCCTTGGGTTCGGGACCGGACCCAGACCGTGTTGCTCGGGTTACCCCCAGGCCCAGCACAGTTAGATCCCTTAAACAGTTTTAAATATTCTCGGCCCACTTTCTCCACCCCACATCAGCAGAGAATCTTCTGGGTCAAGAAAAAACCCAACTCGTGCAACTTACAAATTTTACCAATCAAGTCACTGAAAAACAAAAAGAGCCAAGTGCCCTGCGGAATCAGATTTAGGGCCCACCATCATTTGGTTTTCTCTAGTGGTTTGGTCACAGGCCTCCAGGAAGCAGGGGAAGGAAAGCCACAGGCCTCCCTGTTGCAATTTCTCAGCGTTTGGCATTCAGAAATATTGACTGCCTGTGAGCACAAAGGTTCCACTAACTGTCTTGGGTCAACAACCGTTAATGGCAACCTGTTTGCACTTAATTTGCTAACTGTGCATAACTCCTCCTTTTTTACGTTAATGGGAAAGGGCACCTCTTGGATCAATGGAAAGCCTTCTTCCACTCAACCCTGCTTCCTAGATTCCACTGAACACAAGCCCATCTTCACAGCATTTATGGCTAAAAGCTTTCTTTCTTAGAAATGTCCTCTGGGTGCTGGGCCTGGCACTAGGCTCCAGGATTGTGAGGACTGTATTCCTGCATGCATACAACTCTGCCTGTGGGATCCCCAATGCCTCTGACTCTGCAAAGCCCTTTCCCTTGCCAGGCTCAGCCTGCCCAATTGTACTTGAAAAGTCCTAGTTGTCGGCATCCGTCCATCTTGAGAGACAATGCAGTCTGCCTCCGGGGTGAAGTCAAATTGCTGAAGAATCACAGCGCCGGGTGTGGCTGCAGAGACCGGTAACTTCTAACTGCTGCCTCCTGCAATGTTTTAGTGACTTCCCTGGGGTACAAGCCTAGGAAGTGTGTCTGGGGGTCCTGGGCTGCCCTGATGACAAGAGCCCCCCCTGATGTGGTCCAAAGGAAAGCAGAGCAATACATTTGGCACCAGCTTGGCTGCAGGAGTTGCCGGAAGGAGGCGTACAAGGCCTCAGGGACTCCACTCTGGATCTCCTTAGCCTTTTCTTCTCCCAAAGATATCCCACAAGGCAGTGGGTAACTGGCTCTATTAGTGGGTTCATATCCCTATAATCATATAATCATATCCCTGCTCCTGCCAACCTAGCAGTTCGAAAGCACGTCAAAGTGCAAGTAGATAAATAGGTACCACTCCGGCAGGAAGGTAAACGGTGTTTCCGTGCGCTGCTCTGGTTCGCCAGGAACGGCTTAGTCATGCTGGTTACATGACCCGGAAGCTATACGCCGGCTCCCTTGGCCAGTAAAGCGAGATGAGTGCCGCAATCCGAGAGTTGGTCAAGACTGGACCTAACGGTCAGGGGTCCCCTTTACCTTTTTATAACTATAATCTACGGACCACAGCAATGGACCTAAGTCCTCTCTCTCTTCCCCCTTTTCTTTCTTTCTTTCTTTCTTTCTTTCTTTCTTTCTTTCTTTCTTTCTTTCTTTCTTTCTTGGGGCAGGGCCATGGTTCCTTTACCCCCCTCCCGTGTAAAGCCACCACATACCTGGGTGAACAACATTAATAATAATATTATAATCATTTATTATTTATATCCTGCCCATCTGGCTGAGTTTCCCCAGCCACTCTGGGCGGCTCCCAATTGAATATTAAAAACACGATAAAATGTCAAAACATTAAAAACTTCCCTAAACAGGGCTGTCAGATAGTTGTTTATTTCCTTGACATCTAATGGGAGGGAGTTCCACAGGGCGGGCGCCACCACCAAGAAGGCCCTCTGCCTGGTTCCCTGTAACCTCACTTCTCGCAGGGAGGGAACTGCCAGAAGGCCCTCAGAGCTGGACCTCAGCGTCCGGGCTGAATGATGGGGGTGGAGTCGCTCCTTCACGTATACTGGGCCGAGGCCGTTTAGGGCTTTAAAAGTCAGCACCAACACTTTGAATTGTGCTTGGAAATGTACTGGGAGCCAATGTAGGTCTTTCAGGACCAGTGTTATATGGTCTCGGTGGCCATCCCACAAAATTCAAGGGGAAAACAAACAAATCACTCAGCCCTCTGCCTAGGCTCCTACTTGAAGGAAAGGCTGGGGAGAAAGCACAAGAGGCCATTCTACTTACTTTAACAGCAGTGGCCAGTGGAGTAGGAGGAGTGATGCTGAGCAGTCGCATGGAGGCTTCCAGATGCTGCGGTGGAAGGAAGAAGTTGGGGACGACCACGGGGTCAGATCTGCAAGGCAGAGTTAAGGAAGATACTCTGGAAGCAGGTTGGGACTCCTGCTGGTGCCGCACTGGAAGCAATTCCTCTGCAAGCCCTACTGGGAAAGGGCAGAGACTGCGTAGCTGCTGCATCTGCTGCTCTGGGCCAGTTGGTGCAAGGCGGCCACTTTGTGTGCATGTCCACAGTAATACCTTCTGCAAAATACCTTTTTTGGGTGGACAGGTAGAGAACAACACTGAGGGTGGCCATTCTTACACTCTGTGTGACTCTCATCCCAAGCAGACTGCTGGACAGAGTGGAGCCCTGAGGCCTTATACGTCTCCTTCCAGCGACTCCTGCAGCCAAGCTGGTGCCAAATCTATCTGGCACCTCTCTTTGTAAGATTAAACTTCTTTTCTTACATGAAAGGCCACTGTATCTTCCCCCTTGGGCCCAGGAGTGATATGCCTCCAATTTTTGCAGACAGCAAGATGCTGCCTTATAGGGGCAGGGGTTGAGTTTTGGGGGTTTCCACCTGCAAAGTGAGTGCTCTAGCAATGATCTACATTGCCTCTCCAACCAGTTTTTCTGGTGAAGACTTCTGTGCAACTCACTTTAAGCTGGGTCTTTACAAGACAGGATTGTCTGCTGCCCAGATCGCATTTCTTCAGTACAGTGGTGCCCCGCAAGACGAATGCCTCACAAGACGAAAAACCCGCTAGACGAAAGGGTTTTCCGTTTTTGAGTTGCTTCGCAAGACGATTTTCCCTATGGGCTTGCTTCGCAAGACGAAAACGTCTTGCGAGTCTTGCGATTTCCCCCCCGCTCCCCCTTTTTCTAAGCCGCTAATAGCCTTTTAGCCGCTAAGCCTTTAATAGCCGCTAAACCGCTAATAGCGCTAATCCGCTAATAGGGTTGCTTCGCAAGGTGAAAAAACTGCTAGACGAAGAGACACGCGGAACGGATTATTTTCGTCTTGCGAGGCACCACTGTATCTCAGGTTCTGTGTCTGAGATCATTTTAAAGGGAAAGGAGGGTTGCTCTGCCACTGACCTATGGACCCTTCATCTTGCGTACCCCTAGATGCAGAACCTGGCTTAACAGGAAGAGCCAAAATGTGGCATCATCATCCCAATCTATCCCCCCCCCCAAGAAATCAGTGTGGTAACAAAAATCTGCACCACCTTGACATTAGCTTCCTGTAAAGGCGAGTTATGGGAATCTTTAAGATCTCAGCAGTGAGAAGGCTCACTGTCAGGGAATCTTAAGGGTACTGGGGTGATGTCCTGGGGCTGCATGCACTAATCCCAATCCAGTTACACCCTGCGGTCATTTGGCTGCATGGGGCTATTTTATCACTTGCAACGCTGAGGACACACGTGGCGCTGCTTCAACAAAACGTTAAAATTTAACTTATATAAGGTGGAAGAATCATCTTATGTTACGCAACGCCTCCTCCCAGAGAACACAAAATAAAAACAGGTAAGTGGAACGGACAGGCGCTGCCACCCATAGCGAACAATCACCGTACCTTGTTCTTGACTGATCACAGATGTAGCTTTTGCAAGGAGGCAAAACAAGGTTAGCCAGCGACTTAAAAGCACAAGCCTCAACCTGGGCCTGTAGGGCAAATGCTACCGAGATTCTGACCCCCATCTAATGTGGGGCAGAGGTTGTGGCCAGCCCTACCACCCAATTCTGCTCCATGAAACCTTTCCTGTATGGAAGCTGCGTCTGCCACAGCCTGTCCTGTTTTCTGCCTTCCCCAACCTGTTGCCAACCAGATGTCTTCAAGTGGCTGGGGCTGATGGGAGGTGGAGTCCAAGACACCTGGAGGGCACAAAGTTGTGGGGGTTTTTTTGGGGGGGGGCTGCACATTAGGCAGCAAAGAAGGAACCTGGTCACTGAGATGCTGTTTCTGAATGGAGGCAGCACTTCTGGGCAACATGGCTAGCTGCCCCCTCCTTTTGAAAAGCCACTTCAGCTCTTAGATAACCCCGTCAGGCTGCATGGCACTGAGGGCCTTGGGACGCGACCTGCCTGTTCACGCTGGCCACAGCAAAGCTGGGCCAAGAGAAAGGAAGAGTCTTCCTAGGAGAATTTCACTGTTTATTTGAAGCCCAGGGGGCTTGCTCAGTTAGCCGGGTGAAAAAGGATACAGGACTACACTGGGCTCTTCGCTCAAACGCCTTCCTTCCTCACCTCGGGGGCCGGTCTCTAAGCCCAACTTGCCCTCTCCCGTCTCTGGAGCACGGTGCTTAGCTGCTGCAAAGTCTCCATCACCGCCACCGCCACATGGAATAAGTGGTTCCTCTTCCACTATCTTGCCCCCGATTTCCTGCACTCTTCCGTCATCTTCCCTTCGCTCTTCTGCAACCTCATCCTTTGTGTGGCTCACGGTGGAGATGGGAGCAGGTGGCAAGAACTCTTCCAGACTACCCTCAAGGTCCTGCCTCCTCACATGTCCGTCATCCCCGTCTTCTCTCAAGGGGCTGTTGCTGGATCTGGCGCTGCTGGGCACGCTCAGAGGGTCGTCTTGGGTGACGCTGGACACGGGGCTGCTTCTGACGCTGCCTTCTTTCAGCGCATGTTCAGCAGTCCCTGCAAGCTGGCCAGCGGTGCTCATGATCGCAAGATCATGCTCTGGTTCAGAGACAAGGCTGGACCAAGGGCTGGTTCTGTCCGTCATGGTGGTGATTTCGTTCAGCGTTCTTGGTTCTATGACGTCCTCCTCGTACTCTTCCTCTTCCTCCTCCTCACTGTGAGACTGCGTAGCGCCTTCGCCTTTCTGGGTAAAAGCAGTTAAGGGACGGCTGCTTTGGGAATTGGCTTGGCCAAGGAATTTGTACAGCATGCCTACCCCGTAAGGGGGTTCGCCCAGAGGGAGAGAAGGCTCTTTGTCGACACAGGTGCTTGAAGGTTCGCTCCTCGGATGGGCTTTGGGAACCTCAGCCCTGGCAGCATCTTCTGTTTCGTGAAGACCATCCTCGCCGTGGGAGGCAGTAGCGCTTGAGCACCGGCTGCCATCCACACAGGCGCCCACAGATCCTTCGGCATTCTTCCCCATGTTGTTCTGCAGGTCTGTGGGAAGGAAAACAGATTCAGGGCGTTGCTAAAAATGAACAAAGGGGGAAAAAGGCCAGGGTTTCAGCATTCATGCAGAGGTCAATAATGCAACGGCTGTTTCTGCAGTGCACAAGGAATGGAGTGGAAGAATATTTGTGTAGCTGGGTGGTGCATCTGGCCCAGTGCAGGTGTGACACAGGCTTCCTTGAAAGTTAGGAGCTGGGCTTGCGAATCGGGATCCAGCCTCAGGGATGCAGAGCACCTCCCACCCCCAATTTTTGACTATCATTACATCACGGTTTACCTCTCCTAGCATGAGCTAGAGTTCACCCACCCTTAGCAGTGGAATGCACACACCCTGCTTACAATTTCTGCAGAGCCACCCTTCTGGCAATGCCTCTCGATTAGAAAGAGGCAACTCCAGAGCAGGGAGTCTTGGACTACTCTTCCTAGAGAGGCTCGTCTGACAATTACTTTACCTTCTTTTTGACACCAGGATAATACTAAAAAGAAATAGACATATATCTCTATGCCTAACACCACTAGCATTTTTTCTTTACCCTCACTGGATATTATTTAAGGTCATTATTTCAGTCTCTGCAGCTGATCTGTTTTTGAGCTGTTGTAGGAGAGCTGAGCTCTGTTGATGGGGTTAACCAGACAGGTGAAGTCCAAGACCTTCAAATCTTCACCAAGTACTGTTTCATTTTGCTTTCTATGTAAAAAAAACACCCCTAAAGCCCTTCATTTCAAGGGATTTTTGTCTTCCATTACCCCTCATGTAGCAGATTTTTCTCCCACATGCACAGCTGAAAGGTACAGTGGTGCCCCGCAAGACGAATGCCTCGCAAGACGGAAAACCCGCTAGACGAAAGGGTTTTCCGTTTTGGAGGTGCTTCGCAAAACGAATTTCCTATGGGCTTGCTTCGCAAGACGAAAATGTCTTGCAAGTTCCTGCAGGGTTTTTCCCCTCCCCCCCCCTTTCCCAAGCCGCTAAGCCGCTTATCAGCTGATCCGCTAAGCCGCTTAACAGCTGATCCGCTAAGCCGCTTAACAGCTGATCCGCTAAGCCCGCTAAGCCGCTAATAGCGCTAATCCGCTAATGGGCTTGCTTCGCAAGACGAAAAAACCGCAAGACGAAGAGAATCGCGGAACGGATTCTTTTCGTCTTGCGAGGCACCACTGTATGTACCAATGAAGAACAAGGATCATTAAGGCTTTAATAAAGCAAGTCCCTTGCAAAAGTGGCAGTACTTTCACTAACTGTTTGTTTGTTTGTCTGTCTGTGTGAGTCTGTACACACTGAGCCACAAAGGGTTCTGCTTTATACACTGGTACCTTGCTTGTCAAACTTAATCTGTTCTGGGAGTCCGTTTGACTCCTGGAAGGGTTCGAAAACCAAGGCACGGCTTCCGAGTGGCTGCAGGAGCTTCCTGCACTCAATTGGAAGCCGCGGAAGCCATGTCGGACGTTCAGCTTCTGAGAAATGTTTGCAAACCGAAAAACTCACTTCTGGGTTTGCGGCATTCGGGAGCCAAATCATCCGAGTACCAAGGCGTTTGACAACCAAGGTATAAGTGTACCAGGTTGGATCATTGGTGCACCTAGCTCAGAAATGTCTGCCCTCTAGGATTTCAGACAGGGAGCCTTTTCCCTGCCCTGCCTTGAGATTGTGCAGACTGAACCTGGGACCTTCTGCATGCAAAACACCCCAATGAACTGCAGCCCTCCCTGGATTGCATTAAGCCTATTAAGCTACACCATCCAGTCAACACAAAATGCATGGCGCTTAGTTCAATCCCTACATTTGTTGACTTGCTCCTGGGGAGCGAGAGGGAGGCTTATTTTTCACAGTTATGAACTCTGTGCCTTGCCAGATACCGGGCAGGCTGTGTCCAAAGAAGGAAGCCAGTCAAACCCTTTACGTACATATACTGGGCACAGAAAGAAAAAAGAAGATGTTGCAGTGAAAAGGAAATGAAGCACAGCATCACTTGTTTTCTGTAAAAGAGGAACACAAACTCTGGTTGCCTAGGAAATGGGCCCTGCAATATTGTGCCACCTGAGCTACGTCACAACTGAATGAGAAGGAGGAAAGTCTTTTGTTTAGTTGCTAGGTGAAGCCTCATTTCCTCTGAGCATTCGAAAATTGGCACCTATCCAGTTGAGGGCAAGATTAAAAGGAAAACATAAAGGTCACTGGAAAAAGAAAGCGCTCAAAGAGAGATCTGGGGACAAGATGTGATGGTAACATGTTGTGGGAACAAAAGCAGAAAACAGTAAGGGAAAGAGCGTCAGGGTTGCTTGAGGTGTAACTTTGTTCCAACATAGGGGCTCATTCCTGAGTTGGAAAAAGCAGCATGTGAAGCAGTCTTGAGAAAGGGTTTTAGAGAAGACCACTTAACTAAAAAAACAAACAAACAAACAAACAAACAAACAAACAAGCCATCTCGCAAAGATTGTGGAGGAGAAAGAAACAAGTGGAAAGGCAGAGAAACAGGAGCAAAGAGGCTGGGATTAAAGTGGTTGTAGCAAATGGAAAGGAAGGTTTTGCCAACTTCCCACTCCTGTTTCTTCTCTCTCACCTTCTCAGGGCTGTTTCTGAATGGGACAAAACGTTCCATTTCATTTCACTTTGTATACCACCTTTCTATATTACTATACATAAGGCAGTTTACAAGCTGAAGGAACAACAAAACAGACAACGCACAGGTGAAACTCGAAAAATTAGAGTATCGTGGAAAAGTTCATTTATTTCAGTAATTCAACTTAAAAGGTGAAACTAATATACGAGATAGACTCGTGACATGCAAAGCGAGATATGTCAAGCCTTTATTTGTTATAATTGTGATGATCATGATGCATGTCATGAGTCTATCTCGTATATTAGTTTCACCTTTTAAGTTGAATTACTGAAATAAATGAACTTTTCCACGATACTCTAATTTTTGAGTTTCACCTATAAGTGGATAAGGCAGGAAGATGGGGACAGGAGAAGCAGCTGAGTCATGCTTCCTGTTCCCCATGCGCTCTTCTATTTCATTTGAAACAACACTGCGCAGCACCCTGCCCTCCATGACCAGGTGCCCCATACATTTTCATTGGGCTCCGCAGAGCTTTACCCTGCACAGATTCATCTATCAATGTACTCCTTTGCCCTCCCTGTCTCCGTCCCTCCTCTGAGTCTTCTGCCAGTTTCTCCATTTGCCTGAAGTGGTCTTCTCTTCTCTGCTTGTCAAGCTACACCCTCCCCTCCTCCCACCACTGCCACCCCCCCCACCCCCCAATTCCGACATCTCACCAGCAATCAGGCTGCTGACTTGAGAAACCAGGTGACTGGATTTCTCCAGCAGATGGCGTCCTTCCGAATCTGCCACCATGGAGGCGGGGCTTTGGTGACTGGCGCCCAGGTCGTCCGTGTTTCTCCGTGGAGAACCCAAGTCGGGATGAGGTTTGGTGAGCTTTTGACTGAAGTACCTCTGAATCTCATCCAGCTCACTCAGGTTTTTCCTGGAAGGGAAGAGAAGTCAGAGAGGAAGCAGAGCCCTATCATATAAAGGGTCTTATGTGCAGCAATGGATAAGCAGGTGTAGTGTCAAAATCCATTTTATTTTCCACTTCCTTAGTGAACCCTTTTGCCCTTGGGTCGCAGTTCTAGTTAGGTCTCAACAATGCTACGTCCCGGAACCCTTTTGCAATGCCAGGAATTGGCTCTGAGCCCCAAGATTCAAAGCAGAGTGCCACCTGCCTTCTCCTTGCCACTGAACAACCACAGTGGGAGATCTGGGGTCAGAGGCACGAGGCCCCTGGATATCAGACAGTGGAGAAAGGCTGCAGAAAGGGTGCCTTCTTCGTGCGCTCCTGTAGAGGCATCTGCTTGGCCGAGGGCCTTCTAGCGGTTCCCTCATTGTGAGAAGCAAAGCTACAGGGAACCAGGCAGAGGGCCTTCTCGGTGGTGGCGCCCGCCCTGTGGAACGCCCTACCACCAGATGTCAAAGAGATAAACAACTACCTGACATTCAGAAGACATCTTAAGGCAGCCCTGTTCAGGGAAGCTTTTAATGTGTGACATCTTAGTGTATTTTTGGTCTTTGTGGAAGCCGCCCAGAGTGGCTGGGGAAACCCAGCCAGATGGGCGGGGTACAAATAATAAATTATTATTATTAGCCACTGTGGGAAACAGAAGGCTGGGACTAGACAAACTTTTGGCCTGATCCAGCTGCAGGCACTCCTGATGTGGAATTCAAAAGCACCAGCTTTCAGCTCCATCAATGACCATCTCATCTGCAACCAGGGAACATCCTAAGCTCCTCCTCTCCACTTTGCAAAGCCGAGGGTTTTTTGGGAAGAGCTAGTGTATTTTTTTCTAACAGAGCTCCTGCTGACACAGAGAGTTTTGCCGTCCTGCCACCTGCAACGTGTCTTTACCTGAGAGTTCTGAGAAGGGAAGTGCGTGAGGAGTGGGAAAGGGAATCCAGCCTTCCCAACTGGGACGTGCTGCTTTCTGCCTGCTGCAGCGACTCGTGGAATCGGCGGATGTTCTTCACGTGCTCTTCATGACGGGGCGTCCAGGACCCCAAGGACCCAGTCCTGCTAAAGAAAGAAACGCTGTTAGTGATTCTCTGCTCCATGCTTCACCTTCCGCCACTCTTGCTCAAGGGACAATAACATCTTTCTCTCCATTTCTGAAGATTCAAACACCTTACGCACAAAATCACAGCCCGGTACACCACACTACTTTCTCTGGAAAAACCATCCCCCTAGTTCCATGCTCAAAATCATTAAGGATCCCCTTCACTTAGAGAGGCCTCCTTTGAAAGCATGCAGATGTCAACACAGGACAGGCAGATCTTTCAGCCTTTCCTTATCAGATCTTTGACTTCTCCTTGTGGTTCTCCTTTGGCCCCTGCCCAGTTTGCTGGTTATTCTTTTGGAACATGGTACACAGGAAATAACCTTGCTGTTGGAAGTGGGTGCAAAGGTAAATACAGTGGTACTTTGGTTCTCAAACTTAATCCGTGCCGGGAATCCGTTTGACTTCCAAAACCGTTCAAAAACCAAGGTGTGGTTTCCGATTGGCTGCAGGAGCTTCCTGTACTCAAGAGGAAACCACATTGGATGTTTGGCTTCCAAAAAACGTTTGCAAACCGTAACACTTACTTCCGGGTTTGCGGCATTTGGGAGCCGATTTGATCGTCAACCAAGCCGTTCGAGAACCAAGGTACCACTGTAACTATTTAAGGTTTTTTAAGGGGGGGAAATGGGGCAGCGTCCCTCCAGCACTGAAGACGTGGAGTGCACAGTCCACAAACATTAAATAAAACATGTCTAGCTAAACACACAGTATTGGCACTGAGGGGTTGGAGAACAGCTGAGTTCTCAGTCAGCAGTGATGTTACAGGTGCTCTCTAACAGGCTGGTGGGAGGCAACAAAATAGTGATGTTTGAGTGCTTTGGGAAGTGCGGCAGCCGCACCGTGGAAGGTATTCTTGGCAAATAATATCTGAAACAATTACACAGTTACTTCACAGCCCCCTCTCATTTTGGGGGGGGCATGTCATTTGCCCCCCCCCCATGTTCTTCTCACCTCTCCAGACTGGTGGCATCAGTGCCCTTCAATGGGGACTTTAGATGTTCGCTGGTGCCTCTTGTGGAGAAGCTGGGGAAGGCAGTGTACAAGTCCTGCGCTTGGAGGGCAAAAGAGCTGGTGGCTGGAATCTGCAACACAACAGAGAGGGAAACTGGAAGGAAGAAATATCTCCTGGGCTGAGCCAACATGCAGCTGCAGCTGCTCTGGAGCCACAATTTCATTGGAATGAAAGCTTCCCCTCTAACTTTCCTTCACAGAATGAATGAACAAGCCAGAACATCAAAGGGGATTGTAGATAAAACTACCACAGGCCTCTTGGGTTAGATTTTTTAATTTGTTCATAATATTTGCCCAACACCTGTGTCAAGTTAGTGTGAGAAAGGCCATGTATCATTTCTGACAGCAGCATCCCACGACCCCTAAGAAGCCAATATGGAATATTTGCAGTAATTCTGTCAGTCCAGAAGTCAGAAACCAGAGAAACTGGGAAATGGACATACTGATGTTCCTGAAGCTTTGGACTGGCTTCTTGCCTGTCTCTCTTCTTTGAGATGGGTTATATTTTCGAGGGGGGAAACGGCGACTTTGATCTGCCCCTGACACTGTCCGCTGAAGTCTGTGATGTTGTACCAGCCACAGACTAACTGGAAGCCGGAAAGGAGGGGGGAGAGATCCACAGAGGCAAATCCTATCACCCGTTCAACATCTGTAGGGAAAGCGGGGCGGAAAATAAACAGGCGTCAGCCAGGAAAACAAGGCCAAAATTCACACCTAACTAGCTAAGCAGGCATGTCCAAAATCTGTTTCGGGGGCCTAATCCGGCCTGCCGGTCAGTTTAATCTGTTCAACAACTTCAATCCTAAAAAAAGTCAACAACTTTGGTCAGCCCTCACACATGTTCACTTCATCAAATCTGGCCCTCTTTGAAAAAACTTTGGGCACCCCTGAGCTACAGTATACCTTATGTTCTCAGAGTGGCCAACCAGGTGTGCCTGGGAAGCTCACACGGGGAACATGAGTGCAGTCACACTCTTCTCTGATGCTAGAGGTTAAGTACACAGCCACCATGACCAGCAGCCATTGACGACTTTGAATTCCTCCATGAATTTGTCTAACCCGCTTTTAAAGTCATCCAAATTGGTGGCCAACACTGCGTCTTTAGGTCGCAAATTCCAATACAATGGTACCTCGGGTTATATACGCTTCAGGTTACAGACTCTGCCAACCCAGAAATAGTACCTCGGGTTAAGAACTTTGCTTCAGGATGAGAACAGAAATTGTGCTCCGGCGGCGCGACAGCAGCAGGAGGCCCCATGAGCTAAAGTGGTTGCTTCAGGTTAAGAACAGTTTCAGGTTAAGAACGGACCTCCGGAACAAATTAAGTACTTAACCCGAGGTACCACTGTATTAGTTACGCACTGTGCAAAGAAAGTTTTCCTGAATCTCCCACCGCTGATCTTTATTCCATGCCCCTGGGCTCGAGCATTATGCAAACAGGAGAAAAACACCTCTATCCACTTTTATCCACATCGTGTATGGTTTCAGGCACCTCTATCATGCTCCCCCCTTCACATTTTTCCTAAGCTAGAAAGCATTTTGCACAGTCGCCCACAGCCTTAAGCACACACTCTCTGCGGAGGAAGGCATTCCGAGTGAAATCTTCCTGTGTGGAATTTCACACTGCCCAATATTCTGCCCCTGGCTGTGGCATTCCTTCATGTCCAAGAGGAAAGAGCACAACATCACCACCCCATGATCCTGAGCCTTGCTACGGGCGTTGGGGGAACACACTTCTAAAATACCGGGATAAAAAGGGTGAATAAATATATCCAACATAACCATCTCTTGGGTGGGAAAGACTTTGGAAAAGAAATCACCTGAGTGCCCCCATGCGGGGAAGGAAACAAACAGGCTCCAAGGCTGTCTGAACGCAGCCCCCAAATTAGGGCTGTTTGTATACTGTACGTTCTTCTATCTCTGACCATTGCCAGCTGGCCTCTGAATATTCAAGGCCATTGAAAGGAGACTCGCTGCAGTTTTTCTTTGAAACAATCTGTCTGGTTTTTTCCCTTCCCTGCACGGATGCCGGTGCAAACAAACAACAGCCATTCCTTCTGGCAAACACAAAAGTAACCATTGTTTGGATTATCTCCTGCAAGCGGATTTTGGCATTCTGGAGCAAAGCCCCGAGGGAGTTCAAATTCTTTTCTCGAAGCGTACAGACCTGCATGCATTTGCCAGACCCCAATATCTGAGATGAGGCAGAACCTGAGATTGTTGGGAGAGGGAGAACCTGGTAGGAACAGATGCAGTCGTGGGCAAGAGCTGCACACATTAAGGCCGCGGGGAAAGGTTGGAGAGCCATGAAGGGAATAAGAGGACCCTGCCTCATGGGGCATTTGGAGTCACTGTCTTAAGAACTAGAAACTTGATTTGGCTTTGTTTTATTTAATCCAGACTTGGCGGGGAGTGACTGATGAAAATCCCTGCATGCCTATCTCTCGGATGACGGTTGTGGCCAGGAGCGCATTGCCTAACTTAGGCTGGTGGGCCAAATCCTGATAAGGGCAGACCTGACCAGAGTGAGACGTGCCTTCCTTGCATCTACCTTTGGAGAGTCTTTGGAAGCACCAACTACAGTCATACCTCATGTTACGTTTGCTTCATGATACGTTTTTTCAGGTTGCGTCCCACGGCGACCCGGAAGTACCGGAAAGGGTTACTTCCGGGTTTCACCGCTCGTGCATGCACACAAGCGCCAAATCGCGCCGCGCACCTGCGCAGATACGGCGCTTCAGGTTGTGGGCTTTTCATGTTGCGAACAGGTCTCTGGAACAGATCCCGTTCGCAACCAGAGGTACCACTGTAGTCCTGAATGCAGCAGTAGGATGCTGTGGGTGCTGGCTTACAGGATCCTACCACTCCTGTCCTGATACCTATTTGCTTCTGGGCACGATGCAAAGCATCCAATAGATGTGTCTTCTGGATGCATGCAGCACTTCCTTCCTACTTAGAACACATACAGTGGTGCCCCGCAAGACGAATGCCTCACAAGACGAAAAACCTGCTAGACGAAAGGGTTTTCCGTTTTTGAGTTGCTTCGCAAGACGATTTTCCCTATGGGCTTGCTTCGCAAGACGAAAACGTCTTGCGAGTCTTTTTCCGCTCCCCCCCCTTTTTCTAAGCTGCTAATAGCCTTTAATAGCCGCTAAGACACTAATAGCGCTAATCCGCTAAGCCGCTAATAGGGTTGCTTCGCAAGACGAAAAAAACCGCTAGACGAAGAGACTCGCGGAACGGATTATTTTCGTCTTGCGAGGCACCACTGTACATGAAAACGGCCTCCCAAGTTAGGTCCAAGCCCTTTACCATTAGTTTAGTTGGAAAGAGCTCAACAGTCCACACAAGTGAAATGAAAAGGCTTCCTGGTCCTCAGCTGCGTAAGGCGCTTTATTAATGGTTCCCCTTGGTATAGAGATTGAGGGTTGTTGGCTATATGGTAACTGCATTTGGAGAATAATACCTGCTTTGTGCCACACTTTAAAGACCAGAGTTTGCTGAGGATCCAACAGAAGCTCTTTGGAGAGTCTGTCAAGAAGAAGAAAAAGTCAGAAATGCGCCTTGATCATGGTCGGATGAAACACTGCCGAAATTCAAGTTACATATCATATGGAAAACTCTCCCTAAGGTATGAGAACGTAGGAACTTAGGAAGCTGCTCTATACTGAGTCAGACCATTGGCCCATCTTGCCCAGCGCTGCCTACACTGACTGGCAGCCGCTCTCCAGGGTTTCAGACATGAGTCTCTTGCAGCCCGGCATGGAGATGACAGGGATTGGAGAAGGGACCTTCCACAGGCAAGGCAGCTGCTGCTCTAATAACTGAGCTATAGCCGCTTCCCAAATACATATGGGGGTATGTGTGAATAGGTAGGCATGGGTGGCAGCAGCAGGGCCCATGCGCCTGAAAACTGGTGTGTACATTTCGACACTTCTGACTTTTGCTTAGAAGGTAAAGGTAAATGACCCCTGGACGGTTAAGTCCAGCCAAAGGCGACTATGGGGTTGTGGCGCTCATCTTGCTTTCAGGCTGAGGGAGCCGGCGTTTGTCCACAGATAGCTTTCTGGGTCATGTGGGCAGCAGGACTAAACCGCTTCCGGTGCAATGGGACACTGTGATGGAAACCAGCGCGCATGGAAACGCTATTTACCTTCCTGCCACAGTGGTACCTATTTATCTACTTGCACTGGCATGCTTTCGAACTGCTAGGTTGGCAAGAGCTGGGACAGAGCAACAGGACCTCACTCTGTCATGGGGATTCAAACTGCCTACCTTCTGATTGGCAAGCTCAAGAGGCTCAGTGGTTTAGACCACAGTGCCACCCGTGTCCCCTTATAACTCCTTAATCCTCATCCTTGAGCAAAACTAACTATTCTATCCCCCTCCCTATTATTGTCATAGCTGCGGAAAGATTTAGATTGCAAGTTCTTTGGGGCAAAAGATTCTCTCTCTAAAGCACCATTCTGTTGGGTGGTGCTATATAAATACTACTGCTCCTAATTGGTACTTGCAGTGCATTTTTGCCTCCTAACGGGAGTGCTCTTGTTCAGGGTTTATCGATTTCCGAAAATTTAAGTACTGCTTGATTGCAAGCACACAAACAAAAAACCCCAAATGTGTAACATGCATTTCTGTTGCTTTGACTGGAGAAATCCTTCCCTGTGTAGGAAGCCTGCTATCCCAACTGACTGTCTGCATAGCAGATGATGGGGCTTCTGAGATTCCCATCTGTTAAAAGGGTCACACTGCATACCTGGTCTGCTGCTGAAAGTCCCAAACAGGCGAGTCGGAATTTTCAACTATTTCTGTGGCAACAGGATTATCAGCATCGGCAGCGACAAAGGACACGTAGCTACTGGGTGCCACGACCCCACGTTCAGTGAGAGGACTCCCTGAAAGACAAGTTGGGCAGATGTTGGTTTGGTCTGAAGTTATGAGAAAGGAGGAAACTTCAGGATGATGGACTCAAGGGCATCCTGATCAAATTTGCAGATGACACCAAACTGGGAGGGGTGGCTAACACCCCAGAGGACAGGATCACACTTCAAAACAACCTTGACAGATTAGAGAACTGGGCCAAAACAAACAAGATGAACTTTAACAGGGAGAAATGTTTTGCACTTGGGCAAAAAAAATGAGAGGCACAAATACAAGATGGGGGACACCTGGCTTGAGAGCAGTACATGTGAAAAGGATCTAGGAGTCTTGGTTGACCACAAACTTGACATGAGCCAACAGTGTGACGCGGCAGCTAAAAAAGCCAATGCAATTCTGGGCTGCATCAATAGGAGTATAGCATCTAGATCAAGGGAAGTAATAGTGCCACTGTATTCTGCTCTGGTCAGACCTCACCTGGAGTACTGTGTCCAGTTCTGGGCACCACAGTTCAAGAAGGACACTGACAAACTGGAACATGTCCAGAGGAGGGCAACCAAAATGGTCAAAGGCCTGGAAACGATGCCTTATGAGGAACGGCTAAGGGAGCTGGGCATGTTTAGCCTGGAGAAGAGGAGGTTAAGGGGTGATATGATAGCCATGTTCAAATATATAAAAGGATGTCATATAGAGGAGGGAGAAAGGTTGTTTTCTGCTGCTCCAGAGAAGCGGACACGGAGCAATGGATCCAAACTACAAGAAAGAAGATTCCACCTAAACATTAGGAAGAACTTCCTGACAGTAAGAGCTGTTCCGACAGTGGAATTTGCTGCCAAGGAGTGTGGTGGAGTCTCCTTCTTTGGAGGTCTTTAAGCAGAGGCTTGACAACCATATGTCAGGAGTGCTCTGATGGTGTTTCCTGCTTGGCAGGGGGTTGGACTCGATGGCCCTCTTCCAACTCTATGATTCTATGATTCAGGAGGTGCCACGGAATGCAGACTCTCCCCAGAAGAGCCACAATCCATGAGGCCAAAGGAAAGGGCACTTCCAGATGGTTCTGGGGGAAAGACTCCATGATCCCGGGTTCCTGTGAGCCTGCCAGGCAGACAAGCACAGCCTTGCAACTGGCAATGTGAACGAGAAGCAGGAGGCTGAGGGCACCAAAGCCCCATTGCTCACATGCTCATGCACAGGCCTGTTTGGACAATAAGCAATCCTGGGAGAAGCAGGGCGGTACCCAGCTTGGCTTGGCAGCAGCTAGACTGGTAACTGGCAGTAGCCGCCTGGACCATATAACACCGGCTCTTAAAGGATCTTCACTGGCTCCCACTACATTTCTAAGCACAGTTCAAAGCGTTGGTGCTGACCTTTAAAGCCCTAAACGGACTTGGCCCAGGAGACCTGAAGGAGCATCTCCACCCCCATCGCTCAGCCCAGACTCTGAGGTCCTCCTCCGAGGGTCTTTTGCTGATTCTCTCACTGCGAGATGCGAAGTTACAGGGAACCAGGCAGAGGGCCTTCTTGGTAGTGGCGCCCTCCCTGTGGAATGCCCTTCTTTCAGATGTCAAGCAGATAAAGGATTACAGAAGACACCTGAAGGCAGCCCTGTTTAGGGAAGTTTTTAGCGCTTGATGTCTTTATTATGTTTTTAGATATGCTGTAATCCACCCAGAGGGACTGAGGAAACCAGCCAGATAGGTGGGGTAGAGATGATGATGATGATGATGATGATGATGGGGTCTTTATAAGGCTCACTGTCTTACAGCAAGGGGAAAATGCAGGGGGGAAGTGCAAATATAGAATTTGCTGAACATTTAGAAACACTTGCAATATAAAACACAAGACAGGCCTTTAGGAACTGCCAAAGAGAGGCTGGGGGTTCTTTGGTGCAAGAGAACGGACAAATAAAAGGCTCCTCCCCCTTATTACTATAATCTCTTTCATGGCTGGAGCAGAACTAGAGCTTACCAGCCCCCCAACCTGGGACTGTTTATCTCAAAAGCACGGGAAGAAGCCTGTAAGAATAGAGATTAGCTAATCGTTTAATTGGCTTGACCTAGTTTGCTCAGCACAAAGTTGCTGTTGTGCACCCGCAGAACAACAAGGTCGCCCTCTGGGAAGAGCCACAATGCCGTTTCAGAGACAGAAACAATGTGGAACATGAAACTTTCCTGGGAAGGTGGTGATGCGGAGCCCAAGGCTGCCCAAATCAAGATCAGGACAAAGGGCATGTTGATGGCAGTTCTTTCGAAAAGCAAATTCCCTTCCAGAACACTTCCGCCCTAACGTCTGTTACTGATATCTTTTTGGAGTTTTGCAGTACTTTATGATAGGAGTTTATAACAACTTCTGTCTAAAAGGGCTGGGCCTATAATGCAAGAATTCCATTATGACTATGCAAACATTCCGTATTTTTTGCTCTATAAGATTCACTTTTTCCCTCCTAAAAAGTAAGGGGATATGTGTGTGCTTCTTATGGAGCGAATGCAGGCTGCGCAGCTATCCCAGAAGCCAGAACAGCAAGAGGGATTGCTGCTTTCACTGCGATCCCTCTTGCTGTTCTGGCTTCTGAGATTCAGAATATTATTTTTTCTTGTTTTCCTCCTCCAAAAACTAGGTGTGTCTTGTGGTCTGGTGAGTCATATAGAGCGAAATATATGGTAATTAAATTGCTCGCTTATTTATTTATCCCCCTGCCTTCCAAGCTATTCACCCCCAGATCCTTTCTGAAGCAGCTTATATATAAGATCAATAACATCAGCAGCAAACACTGAGCTCCTGTTTACAACCTAAAAAGACACTAACAGAAGGAAAAATCATTATTTCACACAGAACTTTCTTCTTAACGAAGACTTATTACAGCGTGAATAATTTCCTGGGAGCAGACTGCACCTTTTCATTTTAAAAATGCACACACTGGGAACAGTTCTTAGGATGAACCGGAGCTGTGCAAGGAAATTCATGTGCTCAGTAACAGATGAGTTGTTTATCTGTTTCCAACGTTTAATTGTCAAGTCACCCGATAATGGGTGGAATTTCAACTAATGTGTCCCGTAAGCAGAAGACAGTGGTAGGGACCCTCCACTTGTGCAGTGGGGCGGTATTTCCTCAACTCTCCTCCCCTGACACTGGCTCGGGGTGGATAAATTCTGGAACAGGGCAGGGAGAGGAGAGGGGGAAATCATTTTGTTCCTGGAAAACTGAAATGTTTGCCTTGACAAAACAATCACCTTGTCATGGCATTCAATTCCTCCTGGTGTTTTTAAGGGTGAATATAAACCTAAGCGGGACGCGGGTGCGCTGTGGGTAAAAGCCTCAGCGCCTAGGACTTGCCGATCGAAAGGTCGGTGGTTCGAATCCCCAGCGGGCGGGGGTGCCGCTCCCGTTGCTTCGGTCCAGCGCCTGCCAACCTAGCAGTTCGAAAGCACCCCCGGTGCAAGTAGATAAATAGGGACCGCTTACTGGCGGGAAGGTAAACGGCGTTTCCGTGTGCAGCACTGGCTCGCCAGAGCAGCGATGTCACGCTGGCCACGTGACCCGGAAGTGTCTGCGGACAGCGCCGGCTCCCGGCCTCTAGAGTGAGATGAGCGCACAACCCAGAGTCTGTCAAGACTGGCCCGTACGGGCAGGGGTACCTTTACCTTTACCTTATAAACCTAAGCAAACAAGTAACAACAGTACACCACCTTTACGTCCCATTTGTGGGATTCCAACCTAGACCCCAGGGAGCCCAGAGTTTTACTCACCTTTTAAGCTCAAGTGCATGGCCCTTTCCACAAGGATGCTGACGGCAAATGTCTGCTCCTGACCCACTGTGTGGGGAGACTCCTTGGATGGTTTCTCGCTGAGGGTTTCCACAACGGAGGTCTGATCGGGTTTCAAATCTTGCTCAGGCTCCTTCTGCCTTTCCTCATGGTCACTGATGCCACTGCTGCCATCTTCGGAAACATCAGGTCTGGAGGAGGGGCTTTTGGAGCCCGCCAGCAATTGTGGATTGCGCACGGACGGCTCCCAACAAGTTGAAGAATTGCGGCCGGAACAGGGGGAAGACATCCTGCATGAATGGGCAGAAAGGCACATTTCCAGCAAAGCAGAAGAGAGGTTGGGGGCCAAGTTGTTGAATCCCTTGAGATCTTGCTGGTATTAATCCCTCCCGGTATGACCATGAGTATACCAATTTAAGCGCTGGTTTATTTAAAGCCCTCAACCAAGACTCTGTACCTCAACGGCCTCTCCCGGTATGCCCGCAGAGGACCTTAAGATCCATAAATAGCAACACCCTATAGGTCCTGGCCCTAAGGAAGTCAGCTTAGCCTCAACCAGAGCAGTGGCCTTGTATCATTACGACTTGGCTCCAGCCTGGTGGAACGCTGCTGTCTCATGGGACCAGGCCCTGCAGGATCTGATTGTCTTTCTGAAGGGCCTGTACCGGCAGAGTTGTTCTGCCTGGCCTTCGGCTTGGAATCAACTTGATTCCCCTCCCCATTCTTCTTTATTTCCTTTCTCCTCCTGTGATGGAACTCCTATTTGGGAACTTCCCTGGCTTTTTTCTGGCCCATGTAGGACCAGTCTGGAAAGTTAGCCTTGGTGAAGATTTGACGTTTTCATCCCCCAAAATGTTTTTGATTTGAGTTTCCATTGAAATGAAGCTGTATTTTAATCTTGTATTTTAATCTTGTTTTTAAGCTGTATTTCAATCAATTTGTTTTATATCGGGTGTTAGCCGCCCTGAGCCCGGTCTTGGCTAGGGAGGGCGGGGTATATAAAAAAATTATTATTATTTATTATTATTTAATTCATTCATTTGTTGCCTCCCCCTCCTGCTCAGGCAGAAAAGTGTGGGCAGCTTCCTTTTCCACCTAGGCTGGAGCCAGCCAGCCCTGTTGGCCCCCAGCACCAGGTGATCGGAAGTATGTGACTCTGAACATGGGAAGTTATTTCCTGCGTCCCATGGACAGCGCTAGACTTCTCCTCCATGAAATTGAAGAAATTGCCCCCATACTTTTTGAAAGCCACCTGTAGTGGCAGCCACCACCACATCTGTTGGTAGCAAACTCCATATGGTAAGTGGGTGTCGCATAAATATGCCAATAGGGGCGCGGCTGTTACCATCTTTGCTTGGTGATGGGGTTAAAAAGGAGAAAGCAAAGACAACGGGTTGGATGGCAATTGATGGATTGAGCCCCAAAGCTGCCCAACGTTTTTTAGGCTGCTAGTGAACATACCACTAACGGTCCTTTTCCCCCTTGAGCTCTCCCCGAGCGCGGCAAGGTCCACATAGGCCGACCCAATCTGTCGATCGGTATCCAGGGGCCTCTCAGTGTTGCTCTCGTTCCCATAGGCTCGCCACGCCTGGACCTCCAGCCTCTCCTCCTTGAAGTACCACAGTAAGGCTTGGCTCAACGGCAGATCCATTTCTTTGCTTTTCTTGAAGCTCACGGTCACGTGCTTCTGGTCTTCGGCTAATTTGGGCCTCCTAAGAGACGTCCACGTGGCTTCTTGGTCATACAGCTTATAGCGGAGGTAGCAATGGACGCTTTTGTTTAGGTGCGTCTCTCCTGCAAGTAGCACACACTGCACTGGTAGCCACAGCCGAGGGATGGAAATGGCCACGGCTGCAGTGTTTGGAGTAGGCTGGCATTCGTCCTCACTGTCGTCCTGCAGGCGCTCAGCGCTGGCTTCCTTCAAATTCCAGCCTAAAAGTTTAGCCGCATCCAGGACACGCTGCCGGTCCCCAGGATGGGCAAAGGTGACAGAAAGCTCCAAGCCTCCAACTATGGTTTGCAGGATGTCTGCACAATGAGCAGGGACCAGATCCTCCGGCAGAGTTATTGGGAACCAGCCTCGAATACCTTTCACAGAGCACACAGGAAAAGAGTGTCATTATCACCTTTCAATGGAAAGTGGGGGTGGGGGAGCAGAACATTTCATTTACTGAGCACCTCCCTATCAGAAAGCGACTCTGCTACGTACACCAAAGGTATCACAGGTATCTTTACCTGATCTTCTGTTCAACAGGTCTCTGGTTGGAATCTTGGCAGTTCCCAGAAGGTAATCCCGCGAAGCCTGGGTTTTTGTTCCATATGGTGCTGTAAGATCAAAATGAAGGACATAGCATAAATATGAAATAAATAAAAAATCATGGTTCATACATCCAGAATGTATTCAAAATGGCCGAGTGTAGAAAAGGTGCAATGGAAAAGCAATCCTCGCGCTACTGGCAATTGACTTATTTTGAGATGGATCTATAAGATCGGATCTGTGTGGGCAAAAATTGTCCTTCCTACAGCTGGCAGTTCTTTGAATCCTCTTTCACGTGGTTTCCTGTCTTTCCTCTCCTGCATACATAGTTGCTTAGGGACACAGGTGGCGCTGTGGTCTAAACAGCTGTGGTCGGCGGTTCAAATTCGTGCGATGAGGTGAGCTCTCATTGCTCTATTCCAGCTTCTGCCAACCTAGCAGTTTGAAAGCACACCAGTGCAATTAGATAACTAGGTACCGCTGCAGCGGGAAGGTAAACAGCGTTTCCGTGCGTTCTTTATTCCATCACAGTGTTCCATTGCACCAGAAGTGGTTTAGTCATGTTGGCCACATGATCCAGAAAGCTGTCTGTGGACAAACGCCAGCTCCCTTGGCTCGAAGTGAGATGAGCACCGCAACCCCATAGTTGCCTTTGACTGGACCTAATCGTCCAGAGGTCCTTTATCTTTTGACTTTACCTGACATAGTTGCTTATTTATGTGAAATGATTTCAGTTGTTATCCCTTGGAACTGGGCATGTTTGCTGCAGTTAACTGTGGGGCAACTCTCTATGCTCAGTTGTTTATTCTATGAATGGTAATTCCCTGTTCTGTCGTTGGGTGCTAATTTACCACTGCTTCCTCATTCTTTGTGTACAAAGCAACCTAGTTAGATGAGTGGCATATAAATAATACAAATAATAATAGTAATAATAATAATAATGCCATCACCACCACAACCATCATGGCCTCTGTTTCATCAGAACACAAACTCAAAAGCATGAAAGCAAGGAGCCCAAGTGATTTAGTCTAGGAAAGCTACATACAAATCCAGGAAATGAAGCACATATCGATCCCTTTGTAATGGAAATTGAGGGCCCCCAATAAATGGACTGTTTGCTGGCTATAAGCTCGATGGCAATCACTGGACCAGTCCCAAAGGCTGCCAGCTGCTGACTGTTTAAAGCCAATGTGTTGTGCTTTAAAAATACAGTAGAATATAGCAGCTGTGTGGCTAGAAAGAGCTGGTGCTTGCTGCCAGAGCACCATCTAAGCCCTTGCTGTGCCAGCCCTGGAAATGTCTCCTGCACAAATCTGATGGAAGTTGATGGATGCTGTGCAAAAGAGGAGGTGGGAGTGCTGGGTGGGTTTGCAACCTAAGGGATCCTTCGTTGGTAGCTCGCTGGGTCCACTCCCCTTGCCCACCCAGCTCAGAGTGATGGCGTGATGCAGGTTCTGTCACCGGCACAGCAAAAGTATGGGCTGCCCCCGTGTATTTTACATACCTGAGTTCAGGCTCTTGTGAAAGACGGAAAAGACTATCTCCGAAATCTGCAACAGCTCCCCCAGGGAACAGGCTTCTCCACTGCTTCTCTGGACCACGAGGTTGCACGGGAACTCCGTGTGGTGCTCGAATTCTGGGCAGAAAGTGCGAGCCACGGCTCGGGTGTTGCGCCTCTCAGATTCGGGGAGGAAGGGCAGGTGCACGGAGACGTAAGCGTTCACTCCAACTTCTGCACTGCACTGGAGCGAAGGGTTCTTTTCTGCCACGGCTCTTAGCAAAGAGAAGAAAATATCCCAGAGACGCATATAAGGAGCGATTACAAAAAAAATTAGACAGGCAAGGACATGGGTTTATGTTGATTGTGCATTGCCGTATTTAATAGGGGTAGGAAAGCAGGATGGCTGCCCTTATTCAAACTATCTGGACCATCTAGCCTAGGGTAGTCGGCTCCGACTGGCAGCAGCACTCAGTACTCTCTTGTGGCTGTGCGCTTACCTGGCTGCTGCCTGCAAACCAGCTGCAAAGTGTATCTGAACGGAAATAGAAACTGCTTGAGCTGCCAGGATGCCTTCCGTCGCTTTCAGGGAGCGCCTGTATTTTACGCTCACATCAAGAAAACCTGGGGAAAAGGGGAGGAGAAAGAAATACATATTTAAGCTTTCCGTTGCTGAAACCGCAGGCAAGGTCTGCACGTGGCTGATGTGACAATAAGTCATAGCTGAAGACCTTCCTGAAAACAGATGCCCAATCACATGATACTTGGAAGCAACTAAGGAAGGTAGAAAGGGGGACACAGGTGGCACTGTGGTCTAAACCACAGAGCTTAGGGCTTGCTGATCGGAAGGTTGGCAGTTCGAATCCCCGCGACGGGGTGAGCTCCCGTTGTTCGGTCCCAGCTCCTGCCAACCTAGCAGTTCAAAAGCACATCAAGTGCAAGTAGATAAATAGGTACCACTGTGGCAGGAAGGTAAAGGGTGTTTTTGTGCGCTGCTCTGGTTCACCAGAAGCGGCTTAGCCATGCTGGCCACATGACCCAGAAGCTGCCTGCGGACAAACGCCGGCTGCCTTGGCCAATAAAGCGAGATGAGCGCCGCAACCCCAGAGTCGTCTGCGACTGGACCTAATGGTCAGGGGTACCTTTACCTTTAAGGAAGGTAGAAACAGAATGAGATGGTGGACAGAATGCAAGATGCTCTTTCTTAGCCTCAGGGTGGGACCTGACATTATAAGGCAAACACAAGGTTCCCCAATACCATGTTTGCCTTCTAATTCCAATGTGTGTGTGTGTGGTGGTGGTGGTGGTGATTTCAGGAGACACTGTATAACCAATTGGTCCTTCTTGCACCAATTCTCTCAACCCCTCTACCCTGGGCCTGTCTCCCCCCTTCCCCAGATAGATATAAGACCAAAATTAGCTCAGCTGTGAGAAAAAACTGAAGGTCAAGAGAAAGATGAAGCCTTCCTGCCTTCACTTGATCTACCTTACACATACAAACACACCCCAGCCCTGATTTACTGTTACTCTCCAAACCTGTCTACTAATATGGCAGAAATTGGCAGAAAACTCACTCCGAATCTGACCGGACACAGGTTAGAGCTCAACGTCGAGCCTACCAAGTGGCGATAGCGACGGCGAAGAAGACTTTCTTCACCGCCTCTATTGCATCTGCAGAAAATAGTAGCAGGAGACTCTTTCAGGTGGTCCGCAATTTAACGGAACCACCTTTAACACCGGGGCCTTGTAAAGACCCCAAGATCTCCTGCAACGATTTTGCAAAGTTTTTTGCAGATAAAATCACTCATATTCGGAAGGAGCTAGACACCACCGTGGGAGCAGGGCTGGGGCGGGAGAGTGCTAGAGCTCTGTCTGGTCAAGTTGCATGGAACCAATTTCAATCCGTTACCCCCGAGGATGTGGACAGGCTGCTTGGACGCGTGAAACCAACCACCTGTCTCTTTGATCCTTGCCCATCCTGGCTAATGAAAGCAAGCCGGGAAGGGCTGGGCGAATGGGCTCTGCGGGGTGGTGAATGCTTCCCTCTGTGAGGGAACATTCCCAGATCCGCTGAAAGAGGCGGTCATTAAACCGCTTCTTAAAAAACCATCTTTAGACCCGGCCAGTATGGCCAACTATCGCCCAGTCTCAAATCTTCCATTCTTGGGCAAGGTGATTGAGCGTGTGGTTGCTGAACAACTCCAGGCACGCCTGGAGGATGCAGACCATTTGGATCCCTTCCAATCGGGGTTCAGGCCTCATCATGGGACTGAAACTGCCTTGGTCGCACTGGTTGATGATCTCCGGCGAGCTAGGGACAAAGGTGAGAGCTGTTTCCTAGTTCTGCTGGATCTCTCAGCGGCCTTTGACACCATCGACCATAACATCCTTCTGGACCGTCTAGAGTGGTTGGGAGCTGGGGGCACTGTCATACAGTGGTTCCGCTCCTTCCTCCTGGGCCGTGTTCAGAAAGTGGTGGTGGGGGATGAGTGTTCAGACCCTTGGGCCCTCACTTGTGGGGTGCCTCAGGGTTCTGTCCTCTCCCCCATGCTTTTTAACATCTATATGAAGCCGCTGGGAGAGATCATCAGGGGGTTTGGACTGGGTGTCCATCAATATGCAGATGATACCCAGCTCTACCTCTCTTTTAAATCAGAGCCAGTGAAGGCGGTGAAGGTCCTGTGTGAGTGCCTGGAGGCGGTTGGAGGATGGATGGCGGCTAATGGGTTGAAGTTGAATCCTGACAAGACAGAAGTACTGTTTTTGGGGGACAGGGGGCGGGCTGGTGTGGAGGACTCCCTGGTCCTGAATGGGGTAACTGTGCCCCTGAAGGACCAGGTGCGTAGCCTGGGAGTCATTTTGGACTCACAGCTGTCCATGGAGGCGCAGGTCAATTCTGTATCCAGGGCAGCTGTCTACCAACTCCACCTGGTACGCAGGCTGAGACCCTACCTGCCCGCGGACTGTCTCGCCAGAGTGGTGCATGCTCTATCTCCCGCTTGGACTACTGCAATGCGCTCTACGTGGGGCTACCTTTGAAGGTGACTCGGAAACTACAGCTAATCCAGAATGCGGCAGCTAGACTGGTGACTGGGGGCGGCCGCCGAGACCACATAACACCGGTCTTGAAAGACCTACATTGGCTCCCAGTACGTTTCCGAGCACAATTCAAAGTGCTGGTGTTGACCTTTAAAGCCCTAAATGGCCTCGGCCCAGTATACCTGAAGGAGCGTCTCCACCCCCATCGTTCTGCCCGGACGCTGAGGTCCAGCGCCGAGGGCCTTCTGGCGGTTCCCTCATTGCGAGAAGCAAAGCTACAGGGAACCAGGCAGAGGGCCTTTTCGGTAGTGGCGCCTGCCCTGTGGAATGCCCTCCCATCAGATGTCAAAACGATAAACAACTACCTGACATTCAGAAGACATCTTAAGGCAGCCCTGTTCAGGGAAGTTTTTAATGTATGATATTTTAGTGGGGTTTTTGGTTTCTATGGAAGCCGCCCAGAGTGGCTGGGGAAACCCAGCCAGATGGGCGGGGTACAAATAATAAATTATTATTATTATTATTATTATTATTATTATTATTATTATTATTATTATTATTATATAAGGAGTTCTGTCCTGTTTTTCACCTGTAAAATGGGACTGAGCCCTCCAGTACAGGATTACCAGGAAGGTGAAGCTCATTTAAAGTCCTGAAAAATTATGCCTTGTACTCCAGTACAGTAAAACCTGACCAAACTCCAGATTTGCTCTGGGCCAATGTCTTCTGTTACCTGAGGAACGGGGATGGGGTTCCCCTGCACTCTCAGTCCTTGGGATTAAGGGTAGACTGAAGGTCTGGATGCCCACGTCCTCTCGGTATTGCATGGTCACCATGGCACACAGGCGGGACAGCGGCAAGGTCCCCCTGGCTACCATCTGGTCTCGGACGTTCGGGTAGTAATACCTACAAGAAGAGATGAAACGGAAGTAAACATTAGGGGTAAACCCTTCTGACTGCAAAGGGGGCCTGGCTAGGCCAGCATCATGTGGCCCACCAAGCCAACTGTAGCCATGTACTGTATGCTGACAGCCCCAGTCATAGGAAGCCGGCTTATGCCAGTTCATACCCCTTGTCCATCTAAAGCAAGGCTGCCTGCTCTGACTGGCAGCCGCTCTCCAGGGTCTCGGGGGGAAAGGGCCTCTCTCATCACCTGGCCCAGTTGCATGCAAACTCTTAAGGTTTTGTTACAGGGTCAAAGAAATGAGTCTGAAAGGGATAATTCAGAGAGTGAAGAGCTCAAGTACAGAGGACTCAATTCTTTTAGGACTTTCTGTGCCCCGCTTTGAGGAGGATCCTTCGCATGGTCATTCTATAACAACAACAATTTATTATTTATACCGCGCCCATCTGGCTGGGTTTCCCCAGCCACTCTGGGCGGCTTCCAACAAAACACTAAAATACAATAACTTATTAAACATTAAAAGCTTCCCTAAACAGGGCTGCCTTCAGATGTCTTCTAAAAGTTTGGTAGTTATTTTTCTCTTTGACATCTGGTGGGAGGGCGTTCCACAGGGTGGGCGCCACCACCGAGAAGGTCCTCTGCCTGGTTCCCTGTAGCTTGGCTTCTCGCAGGGAGGGAACCGCCAGAAGGTCCTCGGCGCTGGACCTCAGTGTCCGGGAAGAATGATGGAGGTGGAGACGCTCCTTCAGGTCTACTAGGCCATGGCCTAACCACGGCTTGATGCCAGCAGAAAGGAGAGGTGGGTGTTTGCCTTGGCTGTGAGTGCTGCTAAGCAAGGGGCATTGTAGGGATGGCGAGGGACGCCAGAAGAAATACCTGCACCAGATTTCAAACTGGATCCCTCCTCCTCCTCCTAAGCCCTGGGCAGAGAAAGAGCTGAGCAGCAGCCTTTGGACAGGGACATCAGCAGGGACCATCAAGGAGTGATGACGCTCGTCGCCAAAGTTGGGGTCAGGGACGCACAAGGTGGTTGTCGAGCGGAAAGGCTTTAACGCAAGGCCTGAGGAGGTAAAGCAAAGCCAGAAAAGACCTGTGATGCAAGGGACAAGGACCCATGTGCCCCCCAACACTGACCCAAGCCCACTCGCTAGCCAAGAGGACCCAAGGCTGTTCCTACGGCCGTCATTCACATTAGGCCTCTTTGGGCATTCATATTGCGCCCTAGCTTGTTTCAACAACAACAACAACAACAATTTATTACCGGTATTTATACCCGCCCATCTGGCAGGGTTTCTCCAGCCACTCTGGGCGGCTTCCAATGGAATATTAAAATACAATAACCTATTAAACATTAAAAGCTTCCCTAAACAGGGCTGCCTTCAGATGTCATCTAAAAATCTGGTCGTTGTTTTTCTCTTTGACATGTGGTGGGAGGGCGTTCCACAGGGCGGGTGCCACTACCGAGAAGGCCCTCTGCCTGTAACTTGGCTTCTCGCAGCGAGTGAACCACCAGAAGGCCCTCGGCACTGGACCTCGGTGTCCGGGCAGGACAATGGGGGTGGAGACGCTCCTTCAGGTCTACTGGACTGAGGCCGTTTAGGGCTTTAAAGGTCAGCACCAATACTTTGAATTGTGCTCAGAAACGTACTGGGAGCCAGTGTAGGTCTTTCAAGACCGGTGTTATATGGTCTCGGCGTCCACCCACAATTACCAGTTTCTAAGCTCAGTCTGGGACGTTTGTGGGCCCTTGCTCATCCAGCACGTTGACTCGGGCTGACAATGACGTTCAGCAGGTTGGGATGCTTGCAGCTGTCACTTCCTGTGTCTTGGCCACTTACTTTCTACATTCAGCTGAAGGGGTAGAGCGGTGGAACACACAGTATATCGGATGTGGGAGCTCTGCACTCTGGGGAGGCCAGCAGGCGATAACTCAGTTTTCTGGCAACATTCTCATGTGCAAGCTAGCCAGGAAAATGTTCCATGTTCCAATCCTGTCCAATTACTCTCCAAACAGGAGAGGAGGCAGGTGCCCTGAGTGTAAAACCAGTCGCTATCAGTGAGAGCAAAGCCCTGGCAAGCAAGCCACTGCTGGTCCTATTATAGATGAGCACCCTTGTTTCAGTTTGGAAGCTCAAATACGTATTTGTCCATCACCATGGAACTCCAGCCAGTTCGGTTCAGAAGCTGGGAAGAGCACCCAGAATATCCTGATGGGCAAACAGCACTTACCATTCTCACAGAACTCTGTCCCACGCAGTACGTCGGACTCCTGAACTGGAAAGTGGTACTGCACATAACAGTCAGCCTCTCCCCAGACTGTGGACTGGAGGGGAGTGAGCCCTTTGACGCTCTCAATGTGGATCTCAAAAACGTGCTCCATCATCCCTTCCTTTTCTCTGCCTGACTGCTAAATAATAGACAAAATGGAATCCCTGTGAAAGAAGGGAATCCTTGTGGGGAGAGAGACCCAGTCTTCGGTGAACAAAATGCCCAATCTCCGCATGTTCTGGGCAGGTAATAATAATAATAATAATAATAGTAATAATAATAATACCCCGCCCTCCCCGGCCAAAACCGGGCTCAGAGCAGCTAACATCAAATGTATAACACAACCTAAAATCAGGCAATCAATTAAAATACATCCTAAAATCAGATCAGGGTCAGAATAAAATCCAACCAGAGGGCAACCCGCAGATTAGGGTTGGGGTAATAACCCATGGGCTCCATGATCACTGCTGATGGTGACAGCAGCCACGAAATTAAAAGACGCCTGCTTCTTGGGAGAAAAGCAATGACAAACCTAGATAGCATCTTAAAAGCAGAGACATCACCTTGCCAACAAAGGTCCATATAGTTAAAGCTCTGGTTTTCCCAGTAGTGATGTATGGAAGTGAGAGCTGGACCATAAAGAAGGCTGATCGCTGAAGAATTGATGCTTTTGAATTCTGGTGCTGGAGGAGACTCTTAAGAGTCCCATGGACTGCAAGAAGATCAAACCTCTCCATTCTGAAGGAAATCAGCCCTGAGTGCTCACTGGAAGGACAGATCGTGAATCTGAGGCTCCAATACTTTGGCCACCTCATGAGAAGAGAAGACTCCCTGGAGAAGACACTGATGTTGGGAAAGATGGAGGGCACAAGGAGAAGGGGACGACAGAGGAAAAGATGGTTGGGCAGTGTTCTTGAAGCTACGAACATGAGTTTGAGCAAACTGCGGGAGGCAGTGGAAGACAGGAGTGCCTGGCGTGCTCTGGTCCATAGGGTCAGGAAGAGTCGGACATGACTAAATGACTAAGCAACAACATCAAAGCTCTAGGCGAAAAAAGTGCTAGTTTTTGGGGCAGCCTCAGCAAACACAAGGGATGGAGGTGGCGGGTGGCGCTGTGGGTAAAACCTCAGTGCCTAGGACTTGCCGATTGTATGGTCGGCGGTTCGAATCCCCGCGGCGGGGTGAGCTCCCGTCGTTCGGTCCCAGCTCCTGCCCACCTAGCAGTTCAAAAGCACTCTTAAGTGCAAGTAGATAAATAGGTACCGCTTTATAGCGGGAAGGTAAACGGCGTTTCCGTGTGCTGTGCTGGCTCGCCAGAGCAGCTTCGTCACGCTGGCCATGTGACCTGGAAGTGTCTTCGGACAGCGCTGGCTCCCGGTCTCTTAAGCGAGATGAGCACGCAACCCCAGAGTCGGTCGCGACTGGCCTGTACGGGCAGGGGTACCTTTACCTTTACCTTACAGCAAACACAAAGATACGTTTGATGGAAATACCTTTGGAAGAGGCATGGCAAGAGAGTCCAGAGAATGTGGAGGGCGCATTGCCACAGGAGGTGCCATTCCTTCCTCGTTCTTGAGCCTCTGCAGTGCCGCGATCTGCTCCGCGGAGCCCATGGCCAGAATGACCTTCAGGCTCCCCTTTTTGCTGCCGGTGAAGACGTCCACCACGGGCATGGAGCCATCTACAGCCAGCACCGGATACTGAGCCTGAAGTAGCAGGCTGGATATCTTGGGGTCCCTGGGAAGGGAGGGAGGGAGACAGACATGCTATGTAAACCGCGTAGCGATTCCTGTTGATGCATGAATTAACTAACTAAAACATGAAGAAGGGTCCAATTTCCCTACCAATGAATCTCCTTGCCACCTTCGCCTTTAGCAGAGGCTGGCAACTTTTTCATGGAGGCTAGGGCATTTCAAAATGCAGGAAAGCTGGGCTTCTATGAATCTGACATGCGAGATTACAGTGGTACCTCGGGTTAAGTACCGTATTTTTTGCTCTATAAGATGCACCAGACCACAAGAGGCACCTAGTTTTTGGAGGAGGAAAACAAGAAAAAAAATATTCTGAATCTCAGAAGCCAGAACAACAAGAGGGATCGCTACGCAGCGAAAGCAGCGATCCCTCTTGCTTTTCTGGCTTCTGGGATAGCTGTGCAGCCTGCATTCGCTCCATAAGACGCACAGACATTTCCCCTTACTTTTTAGGAGGGAAAAAGTGAGTCTTATAGAGCAAAAAATACAGTACTTAATTCGTTCCGGAGGTCTGTTCTTAACCTGAAACTGTTCTTAACCTGAAGCACCACTTTAGCTAATGGGGCCTCCTGCTGCTGCTTCTCCACCGGAGCACGATTTCTGTTCTCATCCTGAAGCAAAGTTCTTAACCCAAAGTACTATTTCTGGGTTAGCGGAGTCTGTAACCTGAAGCGTCTGTAACTTGAAGCTTATGTAACCCGAGGTACCACTGTATATTCTGTAGCTTATGCTGCAGTTCCTAGACTCTCTGCTCAAGCAACCTGCACACTTAATCTGATCTGTGAGCCTTCAAGGCCTCATCATCCATCTGAATTGTGTTGGATACCTGGGGGGGGAAGCATCAGTCTGGGGGTCAGGGGGACCTTTTTCAGCTTTAGGGTCGTATTTTCTCATGGGCAACCTTTCCAAGGGTGGCTGCATGTCATACGGGAGAGGTGGAAGGCAAGAGTGGATGGAGGAAGCTGTGACTTGTTTTTGTATGGTAGGGCACATTAAAAGCCAGAGGAATTTTACTCATCGCTGGAATTCTCTCCATCATTTGTCAAAGCAAACTGAATGACAGTTCAACGGCAGCCAAGCCAGTCAAAAGCACTTGAGGAGGGCATGGAGCAATGGCCTTGCTGAGTGTGTGTGTGTGTCCTGACAGTGTGCCCAGGGGCAAGGAGGAATGCAGGGCCACATTTGACCCTCAGACTCTCAGTCTCCTTGGCTCAAATTCCCACGCAATCTTTCTGTGATTGTGTTTTCAGTTTATGTGCCACACCCTGGGACCTCAGAGCCAAAAGTGGGTGAGAAATGCAAGAAACGGGAGTCCAAGGATTACTCGCACATGAAGGTGGCAGGTGGTTGGTGGCAGGACCCTGTGAGTGAGAGGCAAGGAAGGGAAGGCCTTTCAGGGTGAGAGACCCCACCCCCTGGGCATGGGAGTCCTCATAAGGAAGCTGGACCTGGAGGAAGACCTGTGAGGGGAGAGACTCCATCAGGCAAGGCCTCCTTCCACCTGCCTTGCCCCACCCTCCAGTCTCTGCTTCTCAATTTGTATTGCATTATTTTATGCACTGGGGCTTGCCGTTGTTTTATTGATTGTAGTTTCGAAATTATTTGTTGCAATTGTTAAGAGTGGGTTTCTGTTTAATTTTTATATGCTGATATTATTATTCTATACTATTCTAATGAATGTTTAACTTTATTTGATGTGGATTGCTTGTTTTAAAGCTGTTTTATTATCACATGTTTGTACTGCATTAGATTGTTATAAGGTGTACATTCTTTGATTCTTCAGCTTGTAAACCGCCTTGAGTATTGTAAGATAGAAAGGCGGTATACAAATTAAAAGTGATGATGATGATAAGGAAGGAAAGGTCCCAGTGAAAGCTGAGAGGGTCCATGGCTTTTTGTGAGAGACAAGAGAAGACTCTTTTCTCTTTCTCTGTTTTTGTTTAGATTACATATATGAGAAATGAAAGAAAAAAATGAATCAAAGCAAACTGGGTGGTTGATGTTTTGGGCAGCATACTACCCCTTAGCTTACTTTAGGATGAACTCACAGCAATATATCATATGTAGCCCAAGTTAGGGATGGAAATTAAAAATCACTGCCTGGAAGTGATTTTTGGTTTTTTAATCTGATGGGGGGAGGGGCATTATCAGTGTTCCTTGAGCACTGAAAGAAGAAAATTGAGTAAATATGCCACAACACAGTAAAATAAAAACAATTTTAAATACAAATAATGAGTTTTTACTTGAATGAAACGTAGAACTGATGCAGTGGAAGCTTCACCAGTCCTAGTAGGGCATCTCCTCCTGGAATGCACACCTTGTTCCAGGCTTCTATGACCATCACATTGTTCTTCAGCCTCTCCAGATGTTTTGATGTCAGTGAAATAGGAGTTACCTAGAGATTTGATCAGACTCTTTGATCAGAGAAGCAGGACTACACACACACACACACACACACACACACACACACACCCTTCATCTCAGCCTTTGCAAATATAAAATTAAAGAGGACGGCATGTAAACCAGCAAACCCACAGTAAACTGACCATGGACCCAATACAGCTAACGGGGAAAAAATTAAGTCCCCTTGCAAGCTTAACCAGGTTTAATTAAGTTGCAGGTAAAATGTTTGCTGGTAAGTTTTCCTTGTGGGGAAAAGAAAACGAGTTTCAAAAGCTAATTTTGTTTAGTGATGTTCTAGACCAGGGGTCAGCAAACTTTTTCAGCAGAGGGCCGGTCCACTGTGCCTCAGACCTTGTGGGGGGCCGGACTATTTTTTTGGGGGGTGTGTGTGAACGAATTCCTATGCCCCACAAATAACCCAGAGATGCATTTTAAATAAAAGCACATATTCTACTCATGTGAAAACACCAGGCAGGCCCCACAAATAACCCAGAGATGCATTTTAAATAAAAGGACACATTCTGTTCATGTAAAAATACGCTGATTCCCATACCGTCCACGAGCCGGATCTGGCCTCCGGGCCTCAGTTTGCCTACCCCTGTTCTAGGCTGCCCCATAAAAGATGTGTTTCGCACACTTTAATATTTGGTCTCTTGTGGGGTTCTGTATGCGGGTGACCTGGGCATGCCTGAGCACACAGAGAATCGAAAATTGAAAAGTGGGGAGGGAACCAGAGGGTCACAGTCCAAACCCCTGCAATGCAGGAATCGCAGCTGGAGAATCCCCAAGAGATGGCCATCCAACTTCTGCTTGAGAAGCTCAAAGGAAGGGGAGTCCACTGCCTCCCGAGAGAGACTGATCCACTTTCAAATAGCTCTTACTGTCAGAAAGTTCTTCCTACAGTTTAGTCAGGATCTCATTTCTTGTAATTCTGATCTTACCCAAACAAACTTGCTCCATCTTCCAAATGACAGCCCTTCAGATATCTGAAGATGGCTTTCATACCACCTCCCAGTCTTTTCTTCTCCAGGCTAAACATCCCCAACACCCTCATAAGGTTTGTTTTCCAGACACTTTATCATCCTGGCTGCCTTCGTCTGCACACATTCCAGCTTCTCAAGATCTTTCTTAAACTCCGGTGCCCAGAACTGGATACAGGTGGGGTCTGACTCATGACTGAGACGTCCTTTGCTGCTGGGCATTGGGCGACTTTAATTATGGGGCCAAGCCAACTATGAATACCTGTATACCTGAAGGAGCGTCTCCACCCCCATCATCCAGCCCGGACACTGAGGTCCAGCGCGGAGGGCCTTCTGGCAGTTCCCTTGCTGTGAGAAGTGAGGTTACAGGGAAGCAGGCAGAGGGCCTTCTTGGCAGTGGCGCTTGCCCTGTGAAACACCCTCCCAGCAGATGTCAAGGAAATAAACAACTATTTTACTTTTAAAAGACAACTGAAGGCGGCCCTGTTTAGGGAAGTTTTTAAATGTCTGATGCTGTATTGTTTTTAATATTCAGTTGGAAGCCGACCAGAGTGGCTGGGGAAACCCAGCCAGATGGGCGGGGTATAAATAATAAATGATGATGATGATGATGATGATGATGAAGGGCAGCAAAACACATTCTGCCAGTCTGACAACTACCCAACACTTTAGAATACAGAAACTGGCCCTCTTGCTGTAAAGCAGTGGGCAAATATTACAAAGTTTTGGGCCTGTATTTTGTTCTCTGACCTCACAAGTTTAAGGAATTGACGTTAAACACAGAGGAGGCACTAATGTTACCAGGATTACTGCGCACATGAAAAAACTGAAGCTTGCCTGAGAAAACTGGAAGATGGGTTGTGTGGTCCCCCATATCACAGCAGACCTTGTGGCTTCTTCTGTGCTGAAGAGCTTGCAGTTTAGATACACGTTACAAGAGCCATGAAATCCAGCATCTTTGGGCACAAAGACCTTCCCTTCTGGGACCATCAAGAGTACGTGCAACAGCAAACCTTCTTCTTCTGATGCACACAGCTGGTTCAGGAGGTTACGGGAGACGGGCATGGGGACTGAGAGCTGACTCACGCCAACGTTGGCCCTTTCTGATACTGCAGGTGAAGACTCTTGGTTCCTCTTTGGGAGCTGGCAATTAGTTTGCTTCAAGACTGGGGGGCTTCCAGCAGGAGTGGTGCTCCTGCCAACTTCTTGAAACTTGACGCCGGGACTCCTGATGGTGTGAACTGGAGCTTGTGGTGCCCCATTCGCTGCCTTGGTACTGGTGCTGGAGAAATCTTTATTATCAGCTGCAAGTTCCAATGACACCTGCCGGAAGAAAGTTAGAAATAATGCGTTACCTGCTGTCTGTTGAGAGCACAACCTTCTGCAGCTGTGCTTTTCAAACTCTGTTCCTGTGAATCATGATGTCTCCACCTCCATCATTCTGCCTGGACACTGAGGTCCAGCGCCGAGGGCCTTCTGGCGGTTCCTTCGCTGCGAGAAGCCAAGTTACAGGGAACCAGGCAGAGGGCCTTCTCGGTAGTGGCACCCGCCCTGTGGAATGCCCTCCCACCAGATGTCAAAGAGAAAAACAACTGCCAAACTTTTAGAAGACATCTGAAGGCAGCCCTGTTTAGGGAAGCTCGTTATTGTATTTTAGTGTTTTGTTGGAAGCCACCCAGAGTGGCTGGGGAAACCCAGCCAGATGGGCAGGGTATAAATAATAGATTATTATTATTATTGGAAGCTTTGTAGGGCTTCTTCTTCAATAGCAAAATCAGTGTGTGTGTGTGCGTGTGCGCGCACAACAGGAAGGAGAACCAGTGCACCAATGGGCTCCAGTTGTTGGCATCACTGCACTTCCCAGGAGGGAGAGGGTCAAAGCAGCGGGGAGGCTGGCACAGTGCAAAAGTGCAGCAGCGGAGCTAATCTGTCCTTCTTGCTACTGCGCTTGCACTGCGCTGACCTACCTGATACCTTGCCCTTCTCAGTAAGCATTGCAACACTGCTGATGGTAGGACAGGGGTGCGGTGACACCCCTCCCCACCCGGCCACCCAGACAATCTGTAACAGCAGAGACAAGCTTCCTTGAAAGACACTGTGACTATTCCTGCCCATCTTCCATTCCCTTGTGCAGCCACAGGAGAGTTTGTTCTGGGTTGCACCATCCGCTTAGAAGAGGTACAGGGAGAGCCCAGGCAGCCCTTGCCAGTGTGGACCTTGAAAGATGCCACAGAACCTTCTGCAATATGGAAAGCTTCTTCAGCAGACATTCTGCTTGCCCCCAAGGGAATCACTCTGTTTTCCACTGCTTTAGAGAACCACCGGCACCATGGCGACATCAGGAACCATCCCTCCAATCCCCACTTTCATCTCCAACCCCATCTGCGTGATTAACAGGCAACAGACCTCACAGTGGTGAATAAGGGAAGAGCAAATATCACCTTCCACGGGCCTGGAAAGCAAAGGGTCAGGAATGGAGGTGGCCCTAAAAAACTGAGCAGCACCCAGCACAGCCACTCAATACATATTCCCATCATTAGGTGACTGTTTTACTCTAGATACAGAAGGTCTTTGTTTTGGAATGAGCTGGGGCCCCTCTCTTCCCAGATGTAAACCTGACACCTGAATGAGCTCCAATGCGGAAAGCAGCCTCCTAGAAAAAAATTCCATGGCCAAAGCAAGAGGCAATGATACAAGCCAATTCTTTAGTCTCCTTTGGCAACAAACCTGTGGGCAATTCATGCCCTCACAGATTCAGGCGGTACAGTCGTACCTCCTCCCTCTGGTTACGTAAACTTCGGGATGTGCACGTGGCCAACCCGAAGTATTTTACCGGGTTTTGCCACACGCACATGCGCAGAAGCAGTTTGTGCATGCGCAGAAGTGGTCCTCAGGTTGTAGAAACCTTGGGATCCGACTGGACCTCTGGAACGAATCCCGTCCACAACTGGAGGTAGCACTGTATTCGTCATGAAACTGAGAGGAGCAGAGAAAAGGAAGCTACTAATAAGATTTCACAGTAAAACAATAACCAATTCCCAAAGGCTACAGGGCAGGGGCTCACCCAGTGCTAACTAAAGCACCAAAGCCAAGGCAAATCCTTGGCATAGAATATATCCTGATATGTCATTAACACCCAACAACAACAATACCAGTTCCGAATAGTTCAACGATGTTGGCAGATTTTAGAAATAAGAGCGTATGACACCTAAGTGTTGCATTAAGATAAGCTACCTGTGTGTAGAACAGTATAGAAGCAGGTTGTGTATACCTTCAAAGGCCCCAGCTGGGCTGGACCTCCGACTTCTTTCACAGGCAGTTCACGGCTGACCGTTAGTTGCTCAGACTGAATTATGTCTCGCAGCGGGAAAACGGCTGAGCCAATCAACAGGGGCTGAAGACAGGAGAACACAATGGGGAAGGAGGGGGTAACATTGCGCATTTCACTTTTCAATATTACTTAATCTATACTGTATCACACTCATGGTCGTAAAACCTCTGGTAGGGTTTGGGGGCTGGGGTTCTGCTAAGGTCTTCAAGGAAAAGTAATCAGCAAGAAAAAATGTGTACTGTACTGGCCTGAATATAAGCCGCACCCAAATATAAGCCATACATTTATAATTGGAGGGGGTGGGGAAAGGAAAAAATACTTGACTATAAGACTCTCCATTCCTCGCTGCTCCTGGCTGCATACTTTGGGGGGGGGGTGCGTTTCCGGCGGCCTTTCCCCTTTCTTGCTGTCTCCCTTACCGGCCTTGGGGGAGAGGACGGGGGACTATGCATGGGGCAGGCGCCACTTTGCAGCACTCCCGGTCCTGTTTGTCCCGCGCTCCTGGCTGCATACCATAAGGTTGCGAATATAAGCCACACTTTTCACGGTCAGAATTTAGGGGGAAAGTGAGGCTTATTTTCAGGCCAATACGGCATTGAGAACATTAAAATCCTGACTTTCTGACAAAATAGTGCTCTATGTGGCTAACTGTAAAGCAAAAAAAATAAATTACCAAACAAAACTTATTAAAAAAATTATCATAAATTACACACAGGTCTAAAAAGGGTATCCATAAGCAGACAAGGTTTAAAATATCCATTTAAACCCAGTTAATACCCAGTTGCCCTCCTCCACCAGCGGAATGCCAAGCTATGCCTCTCAAAGGAGGGGTTGCAAAGTCTCAGTGGAGCCCGTGAAAAGGTCTCCTTGTTGGCTCTTGCCACATAGACATGCAACACTGGTGGGACAAAGAGTGAAGCCTTAGCTGCAGATCTTAATACGCAGCAGTCCCATGAGCAGGGCTTAAAGGTAGGTTGAAATGGGTCTAGATAATCTGCTTCATCCAGAAAAACAATAACGAATACCTTTCTTTGTGTGCCTTGTTTTGAGTAGACGTGAAACTCAAGGTCCGAGTTCCACCAGTGGGTTATCATTGTGCCACTGAAGTGAACGGGGAACACGTACCGCTGTTGAAACTTCACCACTGAAAAGGTAAATTGACAGGGATTGGATGCCCGATGGGATGGAAGAGGGAAGAAAAAGATGCTCAGTCAAAATTTCAAGGATATGGCAGAAGAAAGGTCTCCGGAGGCTTGTGAGGGAAAAGGCACAATGCAAGAAGAACAGAACTAACTACTTAACTACCCCAGTCCTCTCTGGCAGATTATTTAGGCTTTTTGCATTTACAGAGTGATCCTATACATATATACTCCAAAGGAAGTCTATGAGGCTGTCTCCCAGGATTTCAGCATTTAAAATCCATTTTTATTAACCTTATTAATAAATATTTTTTCTTAACTATCTAAAGGTTCTTTCACTCCCTTTCATTTTGTTGTTGTTTAGTCGTCTTAATTGTGTTTGACTCTCCGTGACCCCATGAACCAGAGCATGCCTTGGAAACTCTCACTTTCTTCTCAAAGCTTCTCCTTTTTTACATCCATGGAGTTTTGTTGGAAAAACGCTGGAGTGGTTTGCCAGTTCCTTCTCCAGGTGGATCACATTTAGTCTAAACTCTCGGCTATGACCTGTCCATCTTGGGTGGCCCTGCGAGGCATAGCTCATAACTTCTTCGAGTTATTCAAGCCCCTTCGCCATGACAAGGCAGTGATCCATGAAGGTGATCCCTTTCTTTACAGTGGTACCTCGGGTTACATACGCTTCAGGTTACATACGTTTCAGGTTACAGATTCTGCTAACCCAGAAATAGTGCTTCAGGTTAAAAACTTTACTTCAGGATGAGAACAGAAATCGTGCTCCGGTGGCACGGCGGCAGCAGGAGGCCCCATTAGCTAAAGTGGTGCTTCAGTTTAAGAACAATTTCAGGTTAAGAACGGACCTCCGGAACGAATTAAGTACTTAACCCAAGGTACCACTGTACTAGTAGCTAAATCCTATTGACCGAACTGCGGGAGACAGTGGAAGAAAGGAGTGCCTGGTGTGCTCTGGACGATGGGATCACGAAGAGTCGGACACGACTAAACGACTAAACAACAACAAAAAATCCTATTCTAGTTAACTAGATTGCCACTCTTCATTTTCTAGTTGTCTTATAAAGTCCTTTGCCTCTAGTTTTTTTTTGGGGGTGGGGGGAGCTGATCAGCTTACGGTACTTTTCCTTATCAGAAAGATCCAATCCCACTACCTTTCTCCACCTATGGCAAGGGCTGCCAGCGTTTTGGGATCAGTGGACACATTTGGAATTTTGAGGAAGTGCCAGGTGCAGTGTGGCATAGGACAAAATGGATGCTACACCTAAAAGGACAGGACCAGAAAGTGGTGTTGGGCATGGCACCATGCAATTAGCTGCCCCATCCATGGGAGAAAAGGCCCCTTTCCCCCAGGCAAGGCTTACCTTCCCCCGAGATTTTACTTGACGCTATCCGAACTATTTCTGTCGTTATGGCGGCCTGCTCTGCTCCAATCTTTGAAGCTCCCACTGGAAAGTGAAACTCGACAAAGAATGTCCTGTGGATGGGAGAAACAGAAAGCGTATTGGGTGAATCAACCAACTGTTTTTAATATAATGGGCCAAAGTGGAAAGGGCATCAACACAAGTCACTGAGCTCAAGCTCAGCGGCTGAGTGACAGCTTTGAATGCAGGAAGTCCTGGATTCAACCCCTGGGAACCCCAGGAAATGCACGGAAACACCCTTTCCTGAAATCTTGGGAGAGCCATTTGCCAGTTAATGGAGGCAACACAGAACTAAATGGGCCAATGGATTTGACTTGGTATCAACAGGGATTTTACATCATCCCCAAATCTTTGCTCTTGTGATAAAATGAACGATTCTAATGATTCCTGCTGAGATTGGATCAAGTCAATGAGCTTACATGCCTCGCTCCTAAGTGAGAAGGAAGAATTATTACCTCTTTTTGGCCAACGCTGGCCTGGGAGGCTTTCCAGTTGAACGTTTTTTGCCTGGAGTGATGTTTTCAGGGGGCACCTTTAGGCTCTCCACAACTGCTCTAGCTAATCGGACCCGGCCCAGCACTGCCAGTCTGTCAAGGCTCAAGTTGACAGCTCGTGTTTCCTCTGTAGATTCCATGGAAGCCTCATGAAGAGAAAGCGGCCCAGCGGGAGAATGGCTGAGAAGGGGGACACGAAAGAGCAGGCTAAGATAACCTTCCTCATAAAAAGGAAAGAGAAAGGTGCTCCAAGGAGTTGCTCTATTACATCTCTTGCACATAAGAACGCTAAGAGGAGCCTGTGCTGGATCAGACCAGTGGCCTAACTAGTCCAGCACTCTGTTTTCAAAGTGGCCAACTCACAAGAGGCATGCAAGCAGTGCCCAGAGTGCAATAGCACCCTATGAAGCTGTGATTCTCAGCAGCTGCCATTCAGTTACGTACTGTCTCCAACAGTGGAGATAGTACCTAGCCATTCTTGTGAGCAGCCACTAATCGTCTGATCCTCCATGAATTTGCATGCTCACACATTTGATACAAATGCACCAATTCTGTGTAGGGAAAAACACCTGAACTGAATTGAAGTTCAGAGGAAATCAGGAGTTGTGATGTCATTATTATTTTTTCTTAATTTGTTAGTGATTTTTCTTGCCCAGGGCAACCCAAAGGGACTTAAAACCAATCAAACAGCAAATAGAGAGAATTGATAAGAATAATGATCTGTTGTGACCTTGATGGAAGCATACAATAGATGAGCCTTCTTGTGTTTTGGCCCATCTTCCTCTTTTTTTTTCTTTTTCCCCTTTTTTTCTTTCCTCCTCCTCCTCCTTTCCTTTTTCTTTTTTCTTTCCCATAATGGCTTAAGTTCTATGCCATGTACTTAGATATTTTTTGTAGTTTTTTTAGCTTTTTTCATTATTATTATTAAGGATTTTTCTTTTGTAATTTTGGTCGTTTATATTTATCTGTATTTGTTTAAAGCAAAATAAAAGTATTTAAAAAAAACAACCAACCAAACAGGTGGACAATTCCCCACCCCAGTAGTTTTCAACCAGTGTGCCATGGCACCCTGGGGTGCCTTGAATGATGGTCAGGGGTATCATGGGCAACACTGGCCTCTGTCCCTCTTTCCTTTCCTCCCTCCTTGAATGCCCTCTCTCACGTCTCTGTCTCCCAAAGGCTTGCACAGCTGTTTGTTGTAGCAGCCCTGGCTTCAAGCTCCCCAGGCGAATGGTGCCTCTGGGGCTGGCCAGAGTGTGCTGGCTGCCAGGATCTGAGGAGACCTCAGAGCAAGCAAGCAAGCAAGTGAGGGAGCCCAGCCAGTCAGTCTTCCAGCCCTTGCTGTTGGGAACAGACTAAGTCCCAGGTCCCTGTGAGGCAGTGTGAGGAGGCACCTCTCTTTGGGGCAGGGTGGGTGTGTGTGTGTGAGAGAGAGAGAGCGCGCTCAGAAACCAGGGACGGTGGCAGCAGCAGCTGCCCAGAGGACTCCCAAGGAGAGAGGAGAGGAGGCTGAGGAAACACTCCACAAGGGAGGGTGTTAGAAAAGGGGTGAGAGGCTGCCAGCTCTGCATGCAAGGGGTGACCTAACTGGGCTCCTAAGCCCCACAGAAAGAATGCAGTTGGTCAAGGGAGCTGTGGGCTCAAAAAGATTGGAAACCTCTACCCCACCCCATAGGTGCATTAAAACCACAAGGAAAAAAGAAATACAGTGGTACCTCGGGTTAAGTACTTAATTTGTTCCGGAGGTCCGTTCTTAACCTGAAACTGTTCTTAACCTGAAGCACCGCTTTAGCTAATGGGGCCTCCCGCTGCTGCCAAGCCGCTGGAGCCCAATTTCTGTTCTCATCCTGAAGCAAAGTTCTTAACCTGAAGTACTATTTCTGGTTAGAGGAGTCTGTAACCTGAAGCGTACGTTACCTGAAGCGTATATAACCTGAGGTACCACTGTACATTTAAAACATCCCACCCACTTCAAAAAGGCCACAGGTAGTTAAAGGCCCACGGCCTGGTTGTAAAGCAAAGATTTTGCCTGGTGCTTAAAGACGTATAACAATGGTGTCAGGCAAGCCTCCTTGGAGGAGCATTTCACAAATGGGGAGCCACTGCAGAAAAGGCCTGTTCTCGTGCTGCCGCTCTTCAGATCTCCCTTGGAGGGGACACACAAAGAAGGGCCTCGGATGGTGATCGCAGAGTCCTTGTCGGTTCATATGGAGAGAAGTGGTCCTTAAGGTATTACAGTTCTGAGCTGCTTGAGTCATGTGTAACCAGTGTAAGCAACTGGTTTACCTGGGTTTTGTCTCCCGAGTCCCTTTCTGACCCAAGGGGCTAGACTCTGAAGCCTTGTTTGATCTCCGACACTTGCTGTTCTGCGACTTGTTTAGTTTTCCGGAGGCAACAGCATCTTCCTCGTCACTGAGGAAGTCACTTAAGCTGCTGTCGGACTTCTAAGGGAAAGAGTGAGAAAAGCAAAATACATTTAACAGTCACAGAACACTCAGGAATTAACGATTCAATTACCAAAAGGAAGTTCTCCTTATCTTGAGATTAAAGATGGTAACCATTTATAAAAACCAGATGATGGAACGGAAGGAAGTCGAAAGCTCGGCAGAGCTAAAACTCTGTAAAAGGTGATATGAAGTTATATTATCAAAAATGGAAAATGAATAAAAAATATATTTTTAAGAAATGTAACTCTAAAATTCAAACTCAGTTGCTGAAATACATGATCCGTTTTAGTAGGCACGTTGCTGGATTAATAAAAGGAGCCATAGAATTATTATTTTTAAAAAAGATGGTAACCTTTTCCAAACACTGCAAGTTTTTAATCTCTACTCAAATTCTATTTTGTGGGCAAGCTAGACAGAGAGATATGAGGAGCATCTGGAAAGGTGTTAAGTTAAAGGGGAAGAGGCAGAACCTCCGGCCTTCATCCACTCCTCCAGCAAGACCCGGCACAAATGAGAGGCGTGGCATATCTGATGTGTTCCTACACGAATGCTTCTTTTATGTGGGATGCCTCTAGCTGCCAAGGGTGTGATACAGATGCCTCACACTAAAAGAATCTTCATGGTGAGTACCACACATTATTTTCTCAGGAGAACACTCTGTGGATGAGCTGTGCTAATCTTCTATGGGGGGGGGGCAGCACCACATAAATCTGATTGGCCTAGGAGGCGGCTAGTGTTTTAAACTTCACTTAAGTCTTTTGCACACCTAAAACAAACGTTTTTGTCTTTCTGCAGCTCTCGTCTTTTGGACGATGCCCAGCGCAAGAGAGGTAAGACGGAATGAAAGGAGAGGCAGAGAGGAAGAACATAAGCCAGCCTTCCCCAATCTGTTGCCCCCACCCCCCAAATGTTTAGACTATACCATATTTTTCACTCCATAGGGTGCACCGGACCATAGGGCGCACCTAGTTTTTAGGTGGGGGGGGGGAATTTCCCCCCCCCTGGTCCAGGAGCGGTGGCAAGATTGCACGCAACCTCGCTGCCGCTCCCGGAGCTTGCGGGACTGGGAAGCCTGAGCTTCCCCCACCCCAGCCCCCAGAACAGGCAGCTTATCCACAAGCCTTTGGAGCCCGGTGGGAACTCCCGCCGCACTCAGAAGGCTTGTGGATGGCTGCCTGAAGCTCGGCGAGCGCTGCGGGAATTGGTGCAGCGCTCGCCGGGCTTCAGGCTGCAGGCTGCTATCCGCAACCCTTCGGAGCGCTCCGAAGGCTTGCGGATAGCTGCCTGAAGCCTGGAGAGCGAGAGGGGTCGGTGCGCACCGATGCCTCTCGCTCTCCAGGCTTCAGCGAAAGCCTGCATTCGCTCCATAGGACGCACACACATTGCCCCTTCATTTTTGGAGGGGGAAAAGTGCGTCCTATAGAGCGAAAAATACGGTAACTTCCAATGCCTATGGATGCTGGGAGTTGTAGTCTAAAACACCTGGTGGGCGCCAGGTTACTGTGCTGACATAAGCAAAGCAGACTTTGATTTGCAGAATTGTTGCCTGGTTCATTCTAGCCCAGTACAGACAGCAGCCTTCCAGTATCTCAGGCAGAAAAGTATTTCACAGCCCCTCTTGAGACTCGTATTAACTAGAGATGACAGAGGTTGAATCTGGAACCTCGCACAGGCAAAGCATGGGTTCTACCACTGAGCAAGGCCCTTGCCTTCAAACACAGGATAAGAGACTAGGTACAAATAATGTTTTCTAGTCAGGAAGCTGACTGTGGTAAGACTGGCTTGGTTCATGGAAAGCTTAGTCACAATAACATGCCCAAACCACCTACACGCCTCTGGCGCTTACTCGAGCTGTGTAGAACAAGTTTTCCAGCAGGCTCTGGTCATAGTGGGGGTCGTTCAGCTCACTGTCGTACACCTCACTCCCAGGAGAGATACATTCCAGGGGAGAGCCTGTACCATCCAAAAGGCGCAGAGGGGAAGAACCAGAACTGTGGGGGAGAAAAGGAAAGAAGGTAAATATGCACATCATCTAGCTACATACACAGACATGCGCATGCACACAGTAACGTTGAATTCAGCACTGCCCTAGCTTTTTGGTTTTTATCCAGCACCGCTCTGCTAGGTCATGTAGAGGACACAAATGAGACTGAGTCTCTAGCTGTGTTAGACAGAATCTATTGTATTCATGATGACCCTTGTTGCTGGAGGTTTCCCCACACATTTCACATCTTACCTGCCCAGCAAGAGCTGGATTGCTCTGTTTTCAGCATGTAAATCAAATTCTGAGCCATCAGGCAGTGGCTGAAGAGGCTCTTCAACGGCAGATATGAGGCCAGGGTGCAGGTTTTTAAGATTCCTGGATAAGAAAATATGCCAATAAAGATGAACTAGGCACTTCCCAGGCATGGTATGCTCTGGATGCTTTGGACTACAACTCCCATCAGCCCCTGAAGTCATAGTGAATGGTCAGGAATGATGGAAGTTGTAGTCCAATTTAGCCGAAGGGCACCAGGTTGGGTAAGGCTGAATTAGGAGGGGGGGTATGATATTAAGCAAGGATAAATTACCAAAACCAATGAGGTTTGCTTGGTGCTAACATTAGCATCATTTAGGCACCGGGCATTTAAACAAATTTTATTGCTATAAGCTGCAGTCCCATATACATTTAACTTGTAATAAATCCCATTGGACTTCAAACATAGGATTGTAGTGTTTTGCTACGTTTCGGTCCTGCAGCAAAAAAAACCCCTAAAAACAATCTGAGCCCCTCTCTAGTTCAACAGGCTTCCATTTTCACTCATTTGAGTAAGAATTCGGGAAACAGGGTACCGAATGAGTAAAGATGATTACAGACTGTTGGACCAATCTACTGATTCCATCAATTTCAGAGATATACACACACAAAGTTAGATTATATATCTCTGAAATGAGATGTAAATGTACACACTTCATGGTTTTTTTTCTGATATAGAGTTGGCAACTTGCATATTCCTAATCCATCAGATGTCAGAGATAGAACCATAAATATTTTGTCTGTGTCTATAGAATTGTTGGCACCAAACTACTCTGACAAAGTGATTTGATACATACTGCTTTTATTAAGCATCCTGAATGCCATTATATCCATGACACAAACATTCCCACATACTCTCCCAAACTCACTTTTCAACTAGTTTGGAGACGTCCTGCTTCATGGGCTGAAGTTCATAAAGCTGTATATCAGGGTCTGGATTCGATGTCATTGCAGACACTACCATAGCGTTTCGGAGTCTATTGCCTCTATCCAAAAGGGCTGGGGAGACAGAGACAGGAGTGAACACTGAATTTAAAATAACAACTGTACATACTGACTTATGGGCGAGTCATTCCTTGACCACTCCTATAGGGGAAAGTGCAACGTGACAGAACTTTTTAAAACGATAACATCGTAGATGAAACCCAACTATTTCTATACATACCTGAAAGGAGATCTTTTGTGGGTGGGTTGTTGCAAGAAAGAACATGGGCAGGTTTGGGACTTTCCTTAGCCAATCTCACTTGAGCCTCAAGATCAGAGCCACCGGAAAACAACCCTTGTTGTTTGGGATCATTTGCATTGACGGAATCACTGTGCCCTTGGAGGTGGTGGTGCTGAGGTCGAAAAAACCCTTCTTTTAGGTTCTCGGAGTTCTCCTGAAAGTACAAGTGATCCTTGCCCCTGTTCCAAAACACAAGCACCATCACAAAGTTTAACTCAAGGATGGTTTTTCCAAAATGCCCCGATGCTGTTCTGGGCATGCATATAAAGTACCTGTATTAGTGACAGGTACTAAGGACGCGGGTGGCGCTGTGGGTAAAACCTCAGCGCCTAGGGCTTGCCGATCGCATGGTCGGCGGTTCGAATCCCCGCGGCGGGGTGAGCTCCTGTCTTTCGGTCCCAGCTCCTGCCCACCTAGCAGTTCGAAAGCACCCCTAAGTGCAAGTAGATAAATAGGTACCGCTTTATAGCGGGAAGGTAAACGGCATTTCCGTGTGCTGCGCTGGTGCTGGCTCGCCAGAGCAGCTTCGTCACGCTGGCCACGTGACCCGGAAGTGTCTCCGGACAGCTCTGGCCCCCGGCCTCTTAAGTGAGATGGGCGCACAACCCTAGAGTCGGACACGACTGGCCCGTACGGGCAGGTGTACCTTTAAAGGTAAAGGGACCCCTGACCATTAGGTCCAGTCATGGCCGACTCTGGGGTTGCGGCGCTCATCTCGCTTTATTGGCCAAGGGAGCCGGCGTACAGCTTCCGGGTCATGTGGCCAGCATGACTAAGCCGCTTCTGGCGAACCAGAGCAATGCACGGAAACGCCGTTTACCTTCCCGCTGGAGCGGTACCTATTTATCTACTTGCACTTTGAACTGCTTTCGAACTGCTAGGTTGGCAGGAGCAGGGACCGAGCAACGGGAGCTCACCCCGTCACGGGGATTCGAACCGCCGACCTTCTGATCGGCAAGTCCTAGGCTCTGTGGTTTAACCCACAGCACCACCCGCGTCAGGGGTACCTTTACCTTTACCTTTATTACTGACAGGGAGAGCTGAATAATGGGGACAGAAAACACACCCTTGCCTTCAGAGCACTGCAGAGTGAAGGGCTAGGGGACATTCTGGCCGGCAGAGTTACTTGGGCACTGAGACATTTGGCAATATGTTCTCCTGAGTTCCACTGAGGCGTGCAGTCTCCTTCTGCATCACCTGACAGAGGTCATCATCACTGGGGGACACAGAGACAGGGCTCATGAGCCGTTTTGCAACCCAGGATGTTCAAGTCATGGCTTCACATGAACTGGGAAGAGACTGGCACGCCCACCCACCCTGAAATGCTTATGGGTAATGATAGCAATCCGCTTTGACATGCATAACAGATATCTATGCAGCTTCTGATCTGGTGAAATAAGCTTTCCTGAGGAATACTGAGCTCCCTGGGTGCTTAATGGAAGCCAGAGTTCAGCCCATTAGCATTTTTTTTAAAGTACTTTAAGCAGGCATAAGACTTACTAGCAGCCGATAGTCTTGTTCAACCCAAATACATGAGAATGCAGAACACAATCACGTTGGTTCCTTGCCAGCAGTGGAAAACCTAGACCATGCTTCTCCCATGCCATTCTTCAAGGGAGGTGTGCAATCTTGAGTGGAGAGTGCTTTTCCTAGACCAGTTGGTTGCCAACTTCCCATCAATATGAGATTATGGGACAAGGAACCAACTGAAGACAATATGGCCTCTCTTTCCATCTCAGATGAGCTCTAGCTGTTCTCCACTTACAAATTAAACCAAGACAAAAGTGTCCAGTACCCTTTCCTGTGTCTCTTGAGGGCCTACCCTTTCTAGGTTCAGAGGCAATTGAATACGCGAGAGCCAAAGGCCTTGGAGGCAGCTCCCCAACCCACCTAATGGGGTACCACACCCAGAACAGCCAGAGGACCTTGGATGCCTCCTTTTCCCTTGAATATGTGCTATGGGAAAGCGAATGGAGCTGTTTAGGGAAGTTTTTAATGACCTAGGTTTTAATGTATTTTTAATCTTTTGTTGGAAGCCACCCAGGGTGGCTGGGACGCGGGTGGCGCTGTGGGTAAAACCTCAGTGCCTAGGGCTTGCCAATCGAAAGGTCGGCGGTTTGAATCCCCGCGGCGGGTGCGCTCCCGTCGTTCGGTCCCAGTGCCTGCCAACCTAGCAGTTCGAAAGCACCCCTGGGTGCAAGTAGATAAATAGGGACCGCTTACAAGCAGGAAGGTAAACAGCGTTTCCGTGTGCAGCTCTGGCTTGCCAGATGCAGCTTGTCACGCTGGCCACGTGACCCGGAAGTGTCTCCGGACAGCGCTGGCCCCCGGCCTCTTGAGTGAGATGGGCGCACAACCCTAGAGTCTGGCAAGACTGGCCCGTACGGGCAGGGGTACCTTTACCTTTTACCCAGCCAGATGGGTGGGGTAGAAATAATAAATAATTATTTATTATTTCAAGAAAAATGGCAGTTGATATGACCCCATGAAGCCTTCTAGACATTGCTGAACTCCTGTTCCCATCATCCCCGATATTTGGCTGTGCCAGTGGGTTGGTGGGAGTTTTGAGGGTCCCACCTCTGGAGGGTCACATGTTCCCCATCCCTGCCATCACTTAGTTAATTTCTACCTTACCCTTCCTCCCAAGGGAGCCAAGGGCGGCAAACAACAGGTGATAAAACGACAAAAGCCTATTAAAGGGCTTCACAACAGGAACAAAAGCCTCCACCCTGACAAATGTGCGCCTCAAATATATTTATCTGTCTCTTCATCTTAAAACATTCATTGAGATCAAAATGGAAAACAAAAAAAGAGAAAAACACCTTGGTGTGGTGGCCCTACTACTGCTAGTGGACTCTCTTCCAATGATATTCGTGCTAGCCGGCCTGTGAGGCTGCGAGGGTACAAGGAATGGGTTAGAGTCAGCCGTTTCTTTGGTTCCCCGGACTGACAAACCAGCACTGAAGCTGACGTCTGTGTTTGGGACGGAGCTGTTGCTGTCATAGGTTTCAGACAGCGGTTCGAGAACAAGCGATACCTGAAAGAAAAATGTTTGAAAGGGCTCAGCAGTAGTAGTTAGGATTTAGAAAGCGAGTTTTTTAATCGCTTCACACATTATTATTATGACCGTATTTTTCGCTCTATAAGACGCAGCAGACCACAAGATGCACCTAGTTTTTGGAGGAGGAAAACAAGAAAAATAATAATCTGAATCTCAGAAGCCAGAACAGCAAGAGGGATCGCTGCACAATGAAAGCAGCAATCCCTCTTGGTGTTCTGGCTTCTGGGATAGCTGCGCAGCCTGCATTCGCTCCATAAGACGCACACACATTTCCCCTTACTTTTTAGGAGGGAAAAAGCGAGTCTTATAGAGGAAAAATACAGTATTTATTAAATTCGTTAGTAGCTTTATCTTGTGTTTTCCATGCCCACCTCACCATGTGTTGAACTTGGAGCACATGTCTGACATGGGGTAGGGGTGACCATTAAACAGGGAAAGGTTTGAGAGTTACCTGCAGCTCTCCCATCTTCTCAGATGTCGGTGAGACAATGGTGAAAAATCCGCTGATTGGGTGACTTGGAGAGAGCTGTGCCAGCCCATTGATTTGCACCCGGCCAATTGGAAGGTGATTTGGTTTGGCCATTACTTCCAGGACAAGAGCACCCATATCTGTAGGACGCAAAACGAACAAGAATAAACGAGCTCAATAAACAAAACGTGAAGAAACAGAACAATGTGTGCTTTTACTTCAAGATGCAGAAACAAGTGGCTGAGCTATTCAAGCTACCCTGTATGCGAAAACCAGTTCCTCACCTCCATCTCTTAGCCATGGCTGGATACTTACCATGATGGAAATAAGAAACTGGCATGGAGGTGGCCCAGGCTGGGCCCGGATCAAGGGGTGATGGAAGGACCTGAAATGGGGAGAAAGTGAAAGGGGCAATGGGAAGGGGTCTCCCTCCCACCAATAATAATAATAAATAAAATCCTTCTAAAGCAGGCATCAAACTGAGGGACCATCAGCTAGCAACTTTTATAAGGCTCTGAAAAAGCAGAAGTTGCCCACCGATTAGGAGAATGAACCTTATCTGCCAGCAATGCAGAATAATTTCACTGTTTGTTCCATCTCATTCTAAGCTGACTCACTGGGACTTGACTTGAAGGGGCAAAACACAATCACTGCCTTCCATTTAATAATAATAATAATAATAATAATAATAATAATAATAATAATAATAATAATAATAATTTTTATTTATACCCCGCCCTCCCCAGCCAGAGCCAAGCTCAGGGCAGCTAACACCAATAAAATCACAGTAAAAACATAATGGGAGGGGGGGAACCAATTTAAAATACAGGTTAAAATGCAATTTAAAATGCAGCCTCATTTTAAAAGTAGCCGATTTGTGCTTTAGCAGCTTGTCCAACCCTAAACTAACAAACCACACGCTCAGACTTCAAAGAAGTAGCTGTACCTGTCAGATAGGAGACAAACTGTTTTGGTCCACACCGAACTGGGTAGCGGGTTGTAGTTTTGAGGGTTTTTTGCTCGGCCTGCGAGGTATCCCGGGGAACAAAGGCTGTCCCGTCTGAGGTTTCTCCCCACCACCTCACCCGGATAAGGAAGGAAGCAGGTGGCTTGGCAACCATCCATAAGATTTTGCTAATGGTCAGCTTCAGAAAGCAGCGCAGTTGTCCTTCTACAAGTGGAGGCAAACTTGTAGAGGGGGAGATATCACTGACGTCTGTGGAGAAGAGGTAGATAGATCACAGCATTACTATTTATCCAAAACAGGCCAGTTAGTTTATTTCTTTTTAAAAATGAACTTTGTTTATCATCTTTCAGTTATTACATAGTAACCCAATAACATCCAAATACACAACAAAACATTGGCTTCTCTTCTCTCTCCCCACCCCCCGGTCCATAGTTCATTGTTTTAACTTCTCTCCCCCCCCCCTTATGTTTTCTATTTTCTCTCCTATTCCTTCTATTTCAATTTTATCTGTTACAAAACGGAGCTGTGCAATTTAGGTAGTTCTGTCCCTAGAATAATTCCCAAATTCTATCAGTGCTGAATTGTATTTTGATGGTTGCTTTTCTTTTTTTGTTTGTAGCGGTTCTTGTTGTTGTCTGCAAGGCATCTCGAGTCCCTTAAGGTAAAGGTAAAGGTACTCCTGCCCGTACGGGCCAGTCTTGCCAGACTCTGGGGTTGTGCGCCCATCTCACTCAAGAGGCCGGGGCCAGCGCTGTCCGGAGACACTTCCGGGTCACGTGGCCAGGGTGACATCGCTGCTCTGGCGAGCCAGAGCCGCACACGGAAACGCCGTTTACCTTCCCGCTGGTAAGCGGTCCCTATTTATCTACTTGCACCCAGGGGTGCTTTCGAACTGCTAGGTTGGCAGGCGCTGGGACCGAACGACGGGAGCGCACCCCGCCGTGGGGATTCGAACCGCCGACCTTTTCGATCGGCAAGCCACAGCGCCACCCGCGTCCCCTAGCGCCACCCGCGTCCCCTACCAGGCGGCATATAAATATAAATGCAGTTGTAGTAGTAATAGTAGTAGTGATGATGATGATAATAATAATAATAATAATAATTTAAGGTATATGGTGAGCCCAGTAATTATACTAATACTAATAATAATAAATTTAAGGTATGTGGCGAGCCCAGTAATCATAATATTAATAAATTTAAGGTATGTGGTGAGCCCATTAATAATAATAACAAACAATATATTTAAATTTAAGGCATGTGGTGAGCCCGGTAATAATAGAAATATTAATATTAATAAATTTAAGGTATGTGGTGAGCCCGGTAATAGTAATAATAATAATTATAA